ATCAGTTACTACTAATAGTTTAGATTCATACCATAGAAACATCTTCAGTAGATAGCATTATGATTACATTAGGACTAGAGAATAAATTAGCAGTTTGAATAAGGAGTGATGATACATTGCGTAGGTTATTTTCATTTTGATCACCAGGCTGACTTGCTAACATCACAATATTCGAAAGATTCTGAACAATTTGTACAACATTCTCAAGAGTTACATTAGTCTATTTAAAAATGACAATGCACTTAAAATAATTCAATAGGTACACACTTACATCAGCTATGCTAGCAAATTCAGCAGTAATCCTAGGATCAGCACAGTTTGATATATCATGAGTGTCCCAGGCACCATTCCTTCTACACTGTCTAATAGCTCTAGCTCCAATAGGACCATGAGGACAAGTAAGAAAAGCTAATGATTCAACTGGTGTTACTGGCCATTGAAATGTACCACGATTTGTTACAATAGTGTCATTTTCACAAGTATCTGTGATATACAAAAAATAATCTACCAAATCAATATGTTATCTTCTCACTAGTTTCACATTGACTATAATCAGGATTTTCCCAACCAACTCCATTAGTCTGACACATTCGAGTGACATTTATCATAGGATGGTTACCACAAGGCAATGCAAGTATAGTATTACCAACTGACTCTGACCATGTGTGAACACCAAAATCTAGTGACTCAGTTTGGCTTTGACTGCAAAACCCAGTGACTAGAAAGCCACAATTGTATAAGGTCAATAATTTAGGGTCAATATTACCTGACATTACAATAGATTGAAATGCATTATTATCAGTATCTGATATAAAGGTACTTATGTTTTGCCAAACAATGGCCACAAATGAACTGTTTGGTGGATACTCCCTCACATCACATTCTACACGATCACCAGTAACATCCTCCTCCATTCTATATCAATTACTATATAAAACTTATTATGAATCAACTTACAGTGGAACAAAGTGACAATATATTTTCCTAATTGGATTTATTGTTGCATTGAAACTATCAACAACAGCTTCATTAAATATCTGTATTGAAAAAAAGAAGTAAAATAAATAATTTTTCTGTAAGCTACAAATAGTGTACATGCATACGTTCGCTTCTAAGACTTCTAGTTTATAATCTTTATCCTCAACATCTGTTAAACTTATATTAATAAAGAAAGCAGTGAATCTGAAAAAAAATTGAGTAAATGGGCCACTGGGATCTAAAATAATAACAATTAACATAAAAGTAGGAGAATTTAACTACATACTTTTAGTACTGACTGAAACTGTTTGAGAGTAATTCCCAGATGAAGATCTGCATGTGTATGATCCAGAAATACTTATACCAGGTAGTATAAGCTCACTCTCTCGTCTCAAGTCAATGTAACTTATTAAATATGTTCTACCAATGAATTGCTGTGAATAGAGTCCCTTAAAATCAGAAATGGAGAGTTCTTCATTAAGGAGTCTTATTCCATCATTTACTAATGTGAAACTTGAGTTAATGAACTCAGTTAATTTTTGAACTGTAAAATGAAAAATTATGAATTCATTTTTCCGTATCAATAGAATTTCTTTACCTTCATTTCCATTTGAATCAAACCACTTGAACTCTTCTCCTGTTTTGCAAAATATTCCACAGAACAATAAAAAAAAATATCCTTGATTTATTGTATAAAAATCTCTGACAAATGCACCGTTAATGTCAAAAATTGAAACGGTTTCTGCAGCTATTATATAAAAAAGATAAAGTTATGCAAGTAGCAATAATTGATATTTTATTGCTTCTCTGATGCAAGGATAATTTTTCTCATTGTACATAAAAACAAACTTGCATAGAGAATACACGTAGTATAATCTCGATTGGGTTTTAGTAAAATAAGGTGCATGCTATGGTATAAAAGTAGCCTATAAAACATTATATCAGTTTCAATTTCTTATATGATCTAATAAGAAAAATACATACTGTATAAGGGGTATATTTTTTCAGAATTTAATTTTGTTCTTTTCATTCTCATTTCTTGTGAAATGAATACTTTCCAAACAAAAAGGCATTTCCTCAATGCCACATGTGCAAAATGGCTGGTCAGAACAAAAATAAAATGAACAAAAATTTCTAATCATGCTTAAAATGTAGAAGAAATATACTTGCTACCATACAAGATGATTTATTGGTGGGAGTAATATTTGGTGAATTTTCCTGTGGAATAAAATTGGCGGATTTTATATTGGCAATTTTGTGCTGTGTCCCATATATTGCACATGCTCAGATTAAAACAAAATGGCAGATTCTTATTGGCAATTTTTTCATAGAACCGCCAGTGACCAATATTAATTTCCTGCCAATAAATTGTCTTGTACTGTATATGGTATTGGGGCTAAATGTGAATTCTACTATACCAAATGAAGCTACTCAATAATTAAACTTACATACTCCACATCGACTATAGTCAGGAGTATCCCAACCAGTAACACGACAAATTCGAGTAACAAAACCACAACCAAAATTACAAGAACGTGAAACAGAAGAACTAGTCCTTCTACTAGTCAAGGCTATCTCAGGCCAGGTATTATTACCATACACTGATGATGTAGTATAGCTCTCATTACAAAACCCGAATTCTAAAAATATACAATAAATTTTAAATCAATTACAATAGTTTTAGTTTGTTGAACTACTTATCATGTACCTGAAATTTGAAGCTCTTGAAAATCCTCAGAAACTAACAGGTTAATGGTTTCATAAATATTTTGTGCCACATTCAACATCAACTGCTTATTTGGTGGATACTCTCTTACATTACACTCAATGCGATCCAATGACTGATTACCAAAATGCTGTGCAGTACTGCAGTATATAGTTAATATGATGTGAATGAGAGCTATAGGTTCTTACAGTGGAACAAAGGAACAAGATATAGTCCTGATTGGATCATCTGATGCATTTAAACCAGCAATAACAGCATTAGTAAATAGCTATAGGGAGGAGAAAATGAAGGAATACATGACAGTCTTTCAATGTACAGTTTTCTTTTCATTAGTAATTGTATATGTGCATGTGCTATAAATAAATTTTATTGAATGAATTAATGAACTTTTTTCTTTTGACACTGTACCTCTGAAAATGTGTGCATAACAAATGAATGTTCTTACTCTTGACTCAAAGACTGCTAAATCATAATCCTTATTATTCACAGAGCTTGCACTAAAAATTAAACCAGTCATCCTGACATAAAACTCAGAAAAAGATCCACTAGGACCTAAAATGTCAAATTACAAGAAGAATCATATTGTGTGAACAGCTTGACTATGTTAAATCAGTTTTAAGGGAGATATTAGATCTAGCTATCCATCTTATAAAGCTCCACTTTAATTAAAATCATACATTTATATTATATACATATGCACAGGGTTTCTCACAAAGCATGCTATGTGAGGTAAACAACATGCTTCATGAGCTGAAAAGCACTGCAAACAGTACATGGCACTTGAAACAACTTTAAAAATTCAATATTGCTCAGAATTAGTTCAATTTTGTATACAACACAAGAACATGTACATGTGTTATAAAAGTTATAAAAAATTGACAATTCTTTCTTAGCCATTTTGGATGAAATTCGGTCGAAGACCAATGGCAGCCGGCCCACTTGATATACAACTTAAAACATGGATGTGCACCAGAAAAAACTTATTAAAATGGTAAATTCTCTCCTTGTGACTTTTGTCAAAATATAATCTTTGGGCCAATTTTAAAGTAATTTGATTATCCACTGGCAAGAAGCTGCACTATATCAAAATCTTGTGCACATGCACAAAGAGCACATACTTGACACAACAATAGTAAGGTTTAGCAAGTTGTCTCCATCTTCACAGGTATAGTGCCCACCAATAGAAGAATCGGGAAGTATGATATCAGACCCATTCACATAACTTGACATCAAAGAGGAGATTGAGTTACTTGATTGGAAGAGTTGTCTAAAGTCTTCTATAGATACACCTTCACTGAGTTTGCTGGTATTTGTAATACTTGATGCTATAAAATTCATATTATCTAGAACTGATAAAAAGATTTAAATAATGCTAAAATTTATTATTGTACCTTGAATTTGGTTTCTAAACCATGTTATTGTAGGGCCACCAGGTTTACCATTGTAAAAGCATACTAATGACAGATTGTATCCTTGATTTATTTTGTATATACCACCAGTAACCAATTCACCAGTACCCCAATCAAAAAACTGTAATTCTGTAGTCATAAATTAGTTCATAATACTATTATAATCATGAAGTGTATGTTTTATGTAAACGACACAATGCCTAAGCATATACTATGACATTGTCATGCTATCAGTTGAAATCAACTGTTATCAGTTAGCCCACTCCAGATAAAGTAAACATGGACAAAAATGGAACAAAGCCATGCATGTAAATTTTAATAAGTTGTACACTGTAATTACTAACTACTTTCAGTTTACAATGTCATGTACACTGCCTTGTATAAGCAATAAAGCATGCACCAAAATCTATTATAGGTAAGCCATACTGCATGATATCATACAAAAATATTTTTCAATGATTCATGAGAGATGGTAAATAAGACTGTCAGATCATAAAAATGAATAGATTGTTCGGTAATGACAGAAATGTTCCTAATTATGGCAATGAATAGTGCACATAAATTTACATTTTTTAGAAATTAATTCTGTTGTTTTAACACAAAGTACATTGACTACTTACATGACATGTTATTATCACAAAACAATCAGGCTAAGGTTGAAAGTAGCAACAAGGAGTGATTAAATATCTGCACAGAATTCAATGATAGATCAACTCACGTGAGTCTGCAACAGATAAAAGACACAGGAATAGAGCTACTGCTCCCATTACTTTTGAGAACGAATACATCTTTGAATCATCACAGAGAAAGAAAGAGAAAGAGAGAACAAATAATATTTGTGTAGCTGGCACTGGCTGTCATATTATATAACAAGTGCACATGAGTGGCTTCAATACTACACAAAACTAGTATATGATATAGACTGCAGCGAAATCAATCACTTATGAGAATTCTGCTGCTAACAGTAAACAAAAATTATTATAGTAATTATTTTTACTGATACAAATTGCTGCCGCTAAAAATTACTTTTTCACACTAAAATTCTCTTTTTGCTAAATACCTTGTAATACAACCCATTGTTTTTTTCTGGATTTTAGAGCAACTGTAAAAATTCATAAAAAACCAGTTTTGATTGAAGTTAGCTCAAACCTTACACACAACATAAGAACATGTATAATGCATTTAAAAAATTATAAAAATGTAAATTTCTTCTTAGCCATTTTTGATGAAATGTCCTACTATAGCACATGTTCTTTGGTCCAATTTTGAGCAACTTTAAAAATCAAATTTTGATCTAAATTGGCTCAAACTACAATGTAAATACACAACATAAGTACATGTATATGCATCATAAAATGCAACAATTCTCTTTGGCTATTTTTCACAAAAAACTATTGTGAAAGGTATCATAAGAAATTTAATGAAATGTGGCCATAATTGACAAAAGGGCCCTTATGGCGGATTTTTAAATTGATCGCTATAATTCAAAATATCAACCTGTGAGTGCTTTGTTAGGCAATCATTGTTTCTAAAAGTTTCATGGTAACTTTTTGTACCCTGTGGAGTAATTTTATGATAAATGGGGCTCAGGAAGTTGGATTTCTTAGACTAGAAGGACTAATTTCACTACCCGCCATAAGGTACCTTTTGTCAATTATGGTCACAAATAATTACATACAGTATAAAGGAATGAATGTATAGACATAGCTAAAATGTGATACACTGATTGACAACAATGATTTTAACAAATGACAGACATATTATTAGATACTGAATATTAAACTTAAAGTTGCAAAATATATTTCTTGCAATCAGTCCAAAACAGGGTACCATGCTAATTTTTAATTACATCAATTTAAGGAGGGTGGCTAATCATTAGCATATACTTGTATTGGAACTATAGTGAGTCTATTCATTAATAACAATGCATGTAAAATGTCACGCACTAATAACAATGATTTTATGCTGTTCCCTCAAATCAAATAATCGTAAATGTCATTGATAACTGCATTATATATAATAGACTTACATCAGTTTAACATCACATATTTAGCACAAAAGCAGAGCTCAGTATTGCACTTATTTCTTGCAGGAACAGAGTGAAGTGAAGAAGAAAGAAATGAAGTGGGAAATGATTTTTGAATATATATAGCCCAGTACCTTTGTGGCTTCTGTTCGCATTAATGAGCCATTTAGGAGAACTAGTTTACTGACTGAGGGTCATAATTACCCACTGTCTTTATGACATTTAGATATTGTTACCTTTGTATCAATAATTCACTAGATCTATTAGACAAGTAAACAAACAGGCATTACCATTTGCCAAGAACACTCAAAGTTTTTAAAACGTTAAAGCAACCTCATTTTTGGTGCATGCAGAAATGCAAAAAAGTCAATTTTACAAAAGGGCGTGACAAAATTTTTTGGGGCGGAGAGGTTAAATTTTAGTGTATCTTCAAGAAATAAACACTTGCCAGGTTCTTTTTGACTGTTGGCTATGTCAGCGAGGAGACCCATTGGGTTAGAAGGACTTTATGATGCATGTAAGGAAGTCTACCCCGACCAACCAAATCCACTTCAGATAGCATCGGTTGTCAAATTTTGGTGAGCACACAGATCTTTGTTGTTGATTGTACTTGTGTGTAGGTTGGGTGGACCTGATCCCCTAGACTTTATTAATATCTATATCAATCCTGGTGATAAGAAGAAAGGTATTCCTCCTCACTGGCATTATGTCACTTGTGGTTTGTCAGATTTATATGGAGACTCAAGAGTACATGAGTAAGTTTAACAGTTTTTGACTTTTTATGATTATTTCCAATCAACTTTTGCTTTGAAACTACTTGTACAATAAGTGCATATATTGTAGTGTTTATTTTATGTACTGTACTTTGTAATTGCATTTATAAACAATGTGGAGTGAGACTGAAAATATGCAAGCTTAAAATTGAGTTATTATCAGATTTGTGATTTTCGTATCTTTTTGATTATAAAGGTCCATGTTAAAATTTGGGATATCAACTAATATTATTACTACAAGTTGATTCATGTGCATGTATACACTAAAAAGGGTGAACGCATTTGTGATAAGCAGCACAATAATTATTATAATTACTTTTTGTTAAGAAATTGATCACATTTACTGATCATTTTTATCTTTCGTGGTGGCTTGGTTTAGTGCATGTTCTTCTCTATAACAAACAATAAGGAGTTACTTGAAATTTCTGCTTTTTATGTTGATGTAAGAACCAAAATATTAATTGTAGCTATAGTGCACGTAATTTTGTTTAGACTTTGAAATGTACATTGTATGTGGGTAGGCACTCTATTTACATGTTTACGTTTCATCATGACTGTGCATGTGCATGTACATGTACATGTACGTGTACACATTACACATGAATACATTTTATTTTTACTGTAGCCTATTGCTGGATATTGATATTGTGTGTACAGGGAATTTAGATTACTTTTGATGACATTAATACTATGTATATAAAGGATTTTTCTGACAACAATTTCTTTTTTTAGGGTGGCTGGTCCTGATCAAGCCAGTGGATTTGGTTTTGAATTAACTTTTAGATTGGACTGTGATACTTCTATGCCTAGTTCACCATCTACATGGCCTGCTGAACTCCTGCAAGCTCTATCACGTTATGTTTTTCAAGTAATATAATTGTTAGTCATAATTATAGTTAATGTCATGCTTTTGTAATAGTCTGATAACGTACTATGTGTTGGTGATCACATATCATGGCATACGTCTCTTGATAATAGTGATTCTCGTATTCAGCACATGCTTTTAGCATCAGATCCTCAGTTAAAACCATTTTCTTCCTCTTTGGGGTCTGTCAGTTTCATTCAGGTATCAATCAATATGGATCTAGCTGCTACTATCTATTAATAGATTGTTGGTATAACTAGTGAAGAGTTACAAGCTGCTCAGCAATGGAGTGTGCCAGGTGTATTAGACCTTATGAGGCAGAAACCATTGTAAATTAACATGATGTAACCTAATGATTACCTGTATGTACATTTTAGGTCTGGAGGTGAGTGGCTAATCACAAATATGAGAAGAGGGGAATCTCTTTTTGAAATGGATTCTGATAATTATGTAAGCTACAATAATGTACTTGTTTATAGTTTTAAATTAAGTAATAAATTAATAGGCTTTACTTCAGAAAGGCATTACAGAGGAAGGTAGTTGTCTTAGTGGAGTTAGTGCTGTGTGTAGCTGGGAAGATGGTGCTGGAAGAAAAGCTGGTGGTGCTATTGTTACTGATCTTCCTGGAATGGGTCCTAGTATATCAGTTGTAGGTAGTGTGGCTCCACATGGGGCTGAAGGTGGTACTACAATGGAGTTGCTAAGGACACAATGCTTAAACTATGTAGAATTATCTTTTAACTTTGAAGCTGCTAAGCTATTGTTTCTTGCACTAAAGTGAGTCATGTACACAATCAACACATACATGTCTAGTATACATGTACATGTACATGCAGAGATGTGGAAAAAATAATTTTGCCACCAGACGTTTGTCCTATTCATTGTTAATAGCACATTACCATGAAAATGCTTGAAAATGATGCTACGCTAATGTCAGGTACTATTTGTCAGATAGCTCATTAGATGCTTAGAGATGGCTCATTTTGCTTTTTCAAAGTCTTGAAAATTGTTCCATTTTAAGCCACTATTTTAATTTCTCGCAGCCATACCAACTTCACTTTATAAATTATCTGTTTGTTATTATTTGGAGTAAATAAAACGGTCATTTTGTCCTGTAAGTGTTAATTAACCCTAGTGATGAAACAAATAGTATTTTTCACTATTCGAATAATTGGCATGCTAAACGAACGAATATTCAAATATCTCACTATTCGTTTCAGCACTAATTAACCCAAACATTGGACAATATTATTTACCAATGCTTGACAATGACTGGCATGTCTGACAGTTTCCACATCATTGTGTACATGTAAGGAATAAAATTACATGTACTGTACATGTATGTAGAGTAGTAAAATGTCATAATTGATTGGGCTTCCAAGCTCCAAATGATCTATAGTTTACATACATGTACAATTAATTTGAAAAATCTTTTTTAAATAATTATTATTATCCATGTTTTAAAACTATTTTTATACCAAAAGTGTGCCTTTTACTGTGTTTTATTGCTAATTTAGTGGTCGTGTCAAACATGGAAGACATTTTACTTTTAAGAGTGTCACTGGTGATGTGGCTATCACTTTAGTTTCATCTGGGATAGAGGTATGTGCTTTGATTGGACTTTCTTAAATATACATGTACTACAAATTACTTTAGGGTGCATTTGCTGATGAGGAACATCCTTTGGCTTCACAAGGAACTTGGTTGCATGTTTTTATTTCTAAATCTGATATTGACATGATGCTGAAAGACATAAGAATCCTCAATGATGTGAGTATTTCATTTTCTTGAAAATAATTAATAGCTCTAATTTTTGCAGCCTAGTTTAAAGCTGCCATGCACGTTTAAATGGGCAAGCAAGAAGCTGTCAATCTCAGTTCACGGCAATGATCAGTTAGGAAGAACACTACCTATTAATACCCCCAATACTCCAGACATCACTTAACATTATTTTACATTTTTAAGTTCATTGATAACAATGCTTTAGCAATCTCATGTAATTTATTAAATTACTATACAGACTGATGGTACTGTGGTACTGTATGTATTGTAGACTTTGGCTTCTATGGCTTCTATGACTCTAAATAATAAAAACCCATGCTTGCATGGTGGTGAAAACAATATCAGGAACATTTTTTAGACTAATATCCTTGTTACTTGTATTACCTTGTGGAATCAAAATAGGCAAAAGTGACTGCAAAAACTAGATATGTGGCTTTCTCATATGCTGTTTCACCTACAAGTAAGGCTTGCTCAGGCCAATTAATTATTGCATGTATACAGTTAAAGGGTTAGGTGTTATTGTGTTAGGCAGCATGACATAATTTATTTGGTGGGAAATTAATTGGCTACAAAGCATATTTACTGGTCGTTTGCATTTTTTGTGGTGGCTTGGTCAAGTTGATATTTACGTGGATTTAATATTCAAAGCATATTTTCCTCTATCATGACAAATCGTAGGGAGTTAGCTACATATAATTTCTGCTGCCCAAGTTGATGCTGCATTCCTTTTTCAAGCTTGATAATGTACTATGTGTTGGTGATCACATATTCATGGCATACGTATCTTGATAATGGAACGGTCTTCTTCTCAACTCCCAATTGATATACAATCAACAGTTGTAGTATTCTCCACTATGATGATATGGGACCTTGGCTTTTGCCTTTCTGATGGAACATTCACGTCTCTACTATCTCAAGCCTATATACCAAATCTTTTGTAGAGATCTTTCAGTTGTGACAGTATTAAAAAGTTATATTCAGATTTGGCATCCAACTACAATTAAAGACTTTTACAGCTTCAAGCTGCCAAATACATCAGACTATTGCTCTGGCTCTAATTGCTTGAACCGCTTTATAGGTCTTCTCCTTCTCTCAATCTACTTTGAGCACTTACATGTAGATGTTTCTTTTGCACTCATTTCTGTAGTAACTCTTCAGAGCCAATAACTCACGAGAACCATTATCATTTGAAGCTCTCTCAAAAATTCTCTCACTTTTTTCAAACTGCCAGCTACTACATTGGAACAGTATGTATTTTATCTTTGATTTCTTTCTGTCTCCCTTGTGATAAATTTAATATAATTTTTATAGAAGCATTTCATTTTAATTCTAATAATTTGTGTACATTATCACTATAAAATTTATGTTGTTAATGCTTCAATGTTTCTCTCCCTCCTAACTTTTCATAATAATTATTTTGTAAGGCTCTTTGACCTCTTCTCTGAGTCCCTTAATACACCCAGTACTCCATATATCACTCAAAATTATAACACTTCATTTTAAAATTAACAATACTTTAACAGTCTCATGTAATTTGTCAAACTGTTATAGACTAGGTACACAGACTGATGGTAGTGCATGTATTTTAGACTTCGGCTTCTGAGTAGAATTTCCAATGCTTTCATACTTACTCTGCTCCAAGTTGCAGCTCTTCAAGAGGGAAACGGGCTCACGAAGACGAGAGGTTTCTAATTCAACCATTCTCGGTATGACTGGAGAAAATGAAGGATGGTTTGCAGAATGTGCCCTTGATGTAACTACAGACCAGTTCTGAGATGTTTCAGTGTATGGTCGAACTCTTTGTGAGTGTGGAGTCTCAATTGTCCTCTTGAGAGAATCTTGAGCATGTTGATACTGGGTTGAATTTGATTGTATAAAACTGATGAGGCGGAGGGTAGGATGTGGCCCATTCGTGTCTCTATTGGTACCACGTGAAGAGACAGAACCTTTTTCAGGTAATATTAGTGGAGGTGCACGCTGTAATGGGGTCATGAGAGTAGAGTGTGGCCTAACAGGATAAATTGGCTTTACAAGGAAAAGACCAGTGTTCTTTTCTGTTTTGGTAAGTGCAGTTTGTATATTGCTGGCTAAGCGAATTCTTCGTGTTGACAAGGCATCCATCTTTTGATGAAATTTTTTCTCTCTCTTGTCTTGAAAGTGTTGCAGCATATTGACCAATCTACCAATTTGTTTAGGCGATGATACTGATTGAAAGACACTGCTAAGTGCTTCCTTCATATGAATCTCTTGGCTTACTTGTTGAGCCAGGCTTTGAAGCTGTTGGCCAGGAATACTAATATACTCTTTCATTTTGCTTGTAACAACTTTGTATTCTTCTTCTGAAATTTGATTTTTCCTTCTTGCTTCCAAAAGAGTTTGTTCATTTCGTTTGAAATCAAGTCTTGTGAAATAGGCAGTTCCCAAATTTGAGTGACTTAAAATTTGACGGAGATGAGATATATCTGATTTTAGGTCGTCCACCTCCATGATCAGATCTGCAACAGCATCATGACTTTTACGCAGCTCAGCTTGGTGCCTGTCATTTGTCACTTGAAGTCTTTCCTTAAACTCCTCAATTTGAGAGTTGAGCTTGTTAACTTCATCCTTGATTTCTTCTTTGTTAGGTGATTCTTGACCACTTAATGGAGATTTTGTTGATGAAAAGCTTTCCTGAAGTCCAACTTGCAAATTTTGAAGGGTTGATGAAATAGCAAATCTCATCTGTGTCACTTGTCCCTGTACTTCTTTACTCATGTCAAGGCTGAATGTGCTGGGAATGCTGTCTTCATCTTGTGTCGTGCTAGCACCCTGTGTTTCAGCATGGGCTTTAATCATATCAAGGACTCTTTTCTTAAATCTCATCACAGTTGTAAAAGTTTTCATCCACTCCGTTACTATGGGATGATCAAACGTGACACTTTGAGGCCTATCATTATGTTGCCATAAATAAGAGGAAAGTGGAGTATTTAGTCTAGGGAACATAGCTTGAGGAGATTTGGGACTTGCAGCAGAATAACGTGTTGGAGCACTGCTCATTGGAGAATCATGGGAGCTGTTAAATGACAGAATTTCTTTGATTGGAGTGTCACATGATGATGATCTATCAGCAGATAAGTATGATGATGATGACAATGAATAAAAAGAGCCTGTCAGTGCACATTGTGTACTACGTGTTACCATATCTTTTGGATGCAAAAGTTGATGCAACTTTGATTCAGCCTCCTCTAGCTGGTGCTGCAAATTTTGCACCTTACTTTCTAAATCTGCAGTTTTGGATTTCCGCTCAGTTTTCCATTCCATCAATTCACTTCTTTCATTCAGTAATAGATTAATTTCTTCCTTTAATCTATCTCTTTCTCTTTGAAATTTGTCAATGAAACTCTTAAGCTCTCTCACTTCCTCAGTAGCCTTTAATAACAAAATGCTTTTCAAGTTGATTTCATTTTTCAATGATGATATGATTGTTTTTGATTTTTTCTTGATACTTTGTACCTCAGATTTCATAGCATTTTCCTTTTCAACGTATTCCTTCTGTAAAGCTGTTATAGCAATAGCTTCTCCTTCAGATATTTCCTTATTTACAGTGATAACAGTATTTGTTACTACTGCAACTGGCTCATTTTTGATCATATTGGGCACAACGTTAATGGCAGGGGCAACTACATCATTGGTTTCTTCACTCTCTTTATTGGAAATGGGAGCTACAATTACATCCATATCTTGCTTTACAGAAACCTGTTTCTCTATGCTTTTGCTAATTTTAACTTCTTTTTCTTTGTCTTCTTTTTCTTCTTCTTTTTCTTCCTGAACTTCTTCAAACATTTTTAAATCGTAGTCTACAAAATTGACTTCTCTTGCCTTAATGTTTTCTAATTCTTTTTCATGCTGTAACTGCATTTCCGCCATTTGCATGTCATGCTCTTCTCTCATGGTATCAATTGTTTCTTGTAGCTCTTTCACACATACTTCTTTTTCATTTTTAAGCTTCTGACACATTTGTTGATTTGACTCTAATGCTGTTCGTAACTCCTTGATCTCATTTGTAGAATCAGCTGCAGCTTTAGACTGTGTTTGAGAAGCTTCCAGCTTAGATTTTTCTAATTTTTCTGTAACATTTTTAAGTTCAAGCTGTAAAGTGTTATTCTCAACTTCAAGTAATTTCTTTTGTGTTGTTATTGTTTGTATTTTCATGCACTCAGCATTTTTTACTTCCAAAACTTTCTTAAGACCATTATAATCTTCTTTACTTTTTTCCAAGGCTGCTTTGCTTATTTGTACTGTTTCAGACAATTCTTCTATTTGATCCCTTGCTCTGACTAGTGCCTTTTCTAGTTTTCGTCTTCCTTTTTTGCTGTCTGGATAAGTAGATGCCATTGTTAGCATCTGACTAATTTCTTTCACAATTGATGTAAGTTTTGATGCCATGCCAATTGTTGACTCTATAGCATTTTCTAACTCAACAGTATTTTCATCTTCTAAATCGATCAAGTCTTCAGCTAGAATTTTATTCATTACAATGCTACTTGTTTCTTGAAAAAAGTCATCTAATGAAAGAAGTACCTGCTCTTTCTCCTCACACTTTTCTTCAAACCCAATCAAACAAATCATTAGTTGCCGTTCATATTTGGCACGCATATGGGCGTTACTTAACAATTTATAAAACTTAGATGGATTAACGATACTGGCAAAATCAATGGCAGCATCAGCATTCTGGAAAGAATCGAAGTGCTCTATTTCATCCCGACCACTGTAATCCTCTAATGCAACAGATATCCTCTGCTTTATCTTTTCTAGAGAAATTTTTGTTTCTTCTCGTTTTCTTTCTCGTTTTGCTTCTTCTTCCTTCAACAATACCTATACAAAAACATGAATACATGTAATGTAAATTGCATTATTGTTTGTAATAGGCAAAAAAATTGTGAGTCAATCAAAGGTTTGAGCGGCCATAATGTATGTACATGTACATTTATACCAAGCATAAATTAATTTACGGTTCAATACTTTCAAAATGCTCAGCCCCACTAACTACTATGAGGCAATTATTTGAATTAAAAACCATACTGTTGCATATTAAATTATAATGGTTTGATGTAATTATGTCCTGCATTCGGTAATGCAAAGAAATACAAGCACTCATTTACCTGCTCAGCTGGGTCTAACCCTTCCAGCAACTGCTTTTTCCAATCCATTATAATAGATTATACTCTTTGTAATAAAAGCAAGTCAAGGAAATCAGTAAGAGATCTCAGTTGCCTTCATTTACCCTTCATCACAATTCATTAACACTTAGTTTCTATGGTGACGTTATTCACCTTAGTTAATAAATTAATTAGATAAAAAGGAGTGGCTAGCTTTAGGTTTATTAATTAAAATGACACGTGTCGCTGTTTTTGTTATCAAAACCACGCCTAGTTCGATGACCAGGAAGAATTGACTTAGCTCTCAAAGTGGAAATGGAAGAAAGACCAGGCCGTATTGTTGATTATGCCTTAGTTGTAGGCCTTGGAGAAAATGTATCACGCTTTAAAGTTGAAGCGTATGGCGAAGGAGGGGAGGAGTCGTTGCATCTAACCACACCTAAAGATGTTCCAATCACTGATATTGCTATTATTGCAAAAAAGTATGAGACTTGTCCTAAAGGATTTAAGTGAGGCACTACTAGTTGTTTGGCCAGTCTCTCATTATGCATTCTAGGTGCATTGAGGTGACCAGTGGTGGTAATAATGCTAGTTTAGTTAGTCCTGGATTGTTTGGTACGCCTTTACTTCTTTGTTATCGTGTGGGAGGTGATGATAGACCTGCAGTGACTGAAATAAGGTTTATTATTTAGAATTCTTTGCATATTGTGTTATGGCTTTGAAAAGACATAATTGCACATACTGGTACATGTACTTAAGTATTAATTATTGCAATGTGCATGTATTATAATGAAATGGTTTGTTATTTACACATCATTGTATTAACTTTTTGTAGTATATACAATGCAGAGCATAGTAAAAGTATCCCGTCTGGCCATGAGGCAATCTTTGTTACTGTTGGTGGGAGATCTGCTGATTTAAGTGGTGGTGGGCGTTATCCTATTTATTTAACTGTTAAAAAAGGATTAACACACGGGTATAACATGTCAACTGCTATATCGAGCATTGCTGTGGTTACTGGAAGGGTAAAGTAACAATAAAATGAGCTTCATTTACTTTATTTTTTTGCAGGAGGGTATTCCTAGTGGTTTTAAAGTGCTGAGTTTATTGCAAAGCAAAGGGTTCCTTTCTTCAGGTATAAGAATATGTTACAAGTCAAGCCTCATTGCGACACAGTCATTGTCTTATACTGCTGGTATGTTTGATTTAATTTATGTATTCATTAGTTTTTTGCATGTGGATAGAAATACTTAGCCGATATCCAACAGCAGATTATCCTCAGTTTCCACTTCCTGAAAGTGTCCCATTGTTTTGTTTGCCATTTGGAGTGTCAGTTGAAGCCTGGGAAAGACATGCTTCATTTCCATTACCAGCTTTTTCTACTTTTGCCCTCACCAGTGCCACTGGACAGTGTGTGAGTTTACTTTGTACGTGTATTTTGATTCTATGACTATTGTGTAGCTAGAAATTTTTTAAAGTAAATTTAGCAAATTTTAGTCCATTTGCCAAAATTTGATACTGTAGTTTGAAGGGCTTTATAGTAGCATGCACATGATCAAAATTTTGCTGAAATTTTAACTGCCAAATTTCAGTGTGCCAAATTTAACACTCCAAATTTTTAGCTATACAGTATAGTTGTACGTTCATATAAGCAATAGCTAGGTTTTTGATCTTGCTACTTTAGTTAACTTCTGATTGCATACTAAAAATATGCACATGTACAGTATGTGTGAATAAAATTGTGCTATGAAGATAATTTGCCAACTACAATTAATACAAATGTATAAGCAATGTTCAAAATTTCACTACAAGTACCATGTACTTTGGTTTTAGAGTGTTAATTTACTGTGCATATTAAGTAAATCCATGTATATGACTACATGTATGTACCGTATTTGCTCGATTAAACGCCGGGGCGTTTGTTTCTTAACAGGAAAAAAAATCAAGTAAAAAAAAAAAAACAAAAAGGCCTCTAGAGGATTCAAACCCGAGACCTTCAAGCACTCCAAACTGTACTCCAACAGTTAGGTTATCTGGTACAATCTAAATCCTATGGCACATATACTGGGTAAAATATGCGTATCTATAGTTAGAAAATATTTAGCATGGGCGTTTATTTGAGCAGGGCGTTTATTTGAGCAGGGCGTTTATTCAAGCAAATACGGTATTTGTTATCACATGCTCTTGCTTTACACTTTACAGTTTATTAGTTTAAAAATTTTGCAATAGTCAACAGAGTGATGTGACATGTGTGAATTTAAATTAACAATCTTTGATGGAGTTATATTTATACTGCTGCATTGTACTTGTAAATCCATGTGCATGTCATTTACAGTAAATTTTATGAATGTAAAGATGCAAAGTAGATAAACTTTTATTCTGTAGATGTATGGTGCCTGTATAGTTTTTTATGAAAAAATTCCAAGAAGCTTCACTTTTTTGTCCAGCATGAAGAAGACATTGGGTGTTGAAGAAAATGTAAGTGTAACTGTTGTTAGTTGTTATTATAATTCAAATATATACATTGTACATGTAGGAAGCTCTTCATGTTAGCAAATGCATATGCTTATTGTCCCATTGGCCATTTTTCTCTGCATTCAAATCATTTTTGTCTGCTTTGTATCGTCTGTCTATCTCTAAAAATATTCAGCTACCTCTTGAAAGGTAATGCCCATTTTCGATTGGGAATAATTTATAATTTTTTTTAGATATGTTGCTAATTTAATGTTTCATGTCCCCTTTCCTTCTGTTGAGCGACCAAGAGTGTTATTGCTGATTGGACCAGAGACTATTGTATTCTCACTCCCTGTTCAAACTCCTTTACCTATGGGGTACTGTTAGTGTTTATTTTTGTCATATTACTCTTGTTTTGAATGCATCATTTGTTTTTTAGAATTTCTGCTCATTGGACTCTTCTTAGTTGTCTTGATGCTGATGATTGTATTTTGCTGATTCATTTGATATTACTGGAACAGAAAATTGTTCTTCATTCATCGAAACCTGCTCTCTTGACTACTATAGGGGAGGCTTTAAGATCTGTACTCTTTCCTCTTCAGTGGAAGTGTACATACATTCCAATGTGCCCATTGGCTTTTTGCTCTTATCTACAGGCTCCTGTTCCATTTATTATTGGTACAGTACTCCTGTTACATTAATGATGCTTTTTGTACTTCATAGGCATGGATAGTCGTTATTTTGACTGTTATACTGCTCCACCAGGTGTTTGTGTTGTTGACCTTGATACAAACACTATTTTAATGTAATTTGCTAAGTACTGTTAGCTTAAAATGAATTTGTATTTTTATCTTTTAGACCTTCTGATATTAGAGCACTTCTTAATTCAAGTCCACTCCCACAGGTACATGTACATGATACTGTCAAGACTCAAGATAGATTTACTTGTTACATGTTTTATTTTTCTAGAAACCAGTTAAAGTTCTTAAGAAGACTCTTACACCTTTAGCGACTGAAGTTGCTAGTATGTACATATGTTTTATAGTCAGTATTTCCCACATAATTTTGGCATAGTGGCTGTGTAGCTTGAAAAAATTACAAGGAGAGAATTCTCCATTTTCAAAATTTTTTCTGATACACATATTTTTTATGTTGTGTAGAAAATAATATTTGAACTGATTTAGATCAAATTTGAATTTTTTATAAACTTTTAAATTTTTCCGTAAATTGGGCCAACAACCAAGGCTATATACAGTTTATGTAGCCTTTTGTCTAAAGCCAAATTTTATCAAAAATTACTAGTAGATAATACTTTTTTTGTGGAACATGTTGTGCATCTCCTTATGTATCTATTAACTTTTTAGCTGATTCTAATCAAATTTGGATTTTTTAAATAAAATTTTGAAGTTGCTTCAGAATGATTGTAGTGCTTGCAAGCTCATGAAACATGCTGTTTACATGTAGCTCACTATGCTTTGTATGAAACCCTTTATGTAGTATTCTCATTTTATTTGTGCAATAATAATGTTGCTAGGTTACAGGTTTGATGGAGATTTTGCTGTTGAGGTAGCACCACTTGAAGTTGGAGACTTATTAAAAATCAACCAAGTACATTCAATAAATAAAGGTTTATTTTTTAGTTGGGTTTGGTGTTGTTAGGAAAGAGCTGATGTTATTATTAGGGAAGCGTTCCTTAAGTTTATGGCTATGATATTAGTGAACTATAGGTACAGTTGTGTTTAATGATTTTGTTACTATTTTTTGTTATTTTAAGATTGTACCTTCGTCCATTAACAGCTCAACGTAGTCGTTCTCTGCAAGATGTTTCGGAGTTATTTGATCTCACCAATTTTATTAAAAACAAGTCATCATCTGAAAGAAATTTCTATTCTACCTTTTTTGATACTCAGATTTTTACTTCATTTATTGAGCAACGCTCATTTGCTCATGCTGAAAGTACGGCACTAGCTTTTTTTGATGAGTGCACAGAAAAGGTACCATTATTAATATTAATAAAATGCATTGCATTCACGTGTATATTATTATGGTGACTGACTGTGCATGTATATCTGAATCTTATTGTGATCAATTGTGTATTCCAATACTTTCTTCTTTTATCAACAGGTTTTAAGTGATGTAAACCAAAAGCTTTTAAACATTGACAAAATTGTCAGCAGGTACAATTATTATTATAAAGCCAGGTTGTAGTTTACTCTTCCTTTACATGTAGGCGCTATGATCTTCCTACAGTGGTTACACCACCTCCTGATGAAACAGGCTTGCCTCTGGGCAAGAAATTTACGTATGTTCAATCATAAATATTTGTTTTTAACTTGTTTTTTTAAAATTACAATGTAGGTATGATGTTTTTCCACCATTGGATCCTACGTTGTTTTTATCACCTGTGTCTCCCACAAACTCTCCATATGATAAATCTACAAGTGTCAGCCATACTGTTTCAGAGTCTGCTTTTACTTCTGTTGCCTTAAGGACTCAAGCTGAGAAAACTAAAAATAAAAATGTGAGACCTTAAATTTGTAATTATTGAAATTTCATTATTACTTATGTAGCTAATACAAAGAGCATCTGGTAGTGATGTTTTGTGGGCTAAAGTTTTGTTAAGTCATGCTTGTAGCTCTTGGTACATGCTGTTGTCATATCATTTGAGGTCTCAGTGGAATAAGGTTGAAGTCCTTTCTCAAGCACTGGAATTATTGGATGCTCTTCGTGTGAGAGATGCACTTCCTAATGATGAAGTTAGTTTATTAATTTAGTACAATTTTCTCCTTTAAAATGTCTGTGAATATTAGTTTTATTATTATGTACATGAATTAATGTCATTTGAATCTTAATGTTGATGTAATCTCAGTTGCATGTAAAGTCCACTATAAATTTTATTATATTATTTTATTATTATAGGTTTGTTATAGAATACTGATGAAGGAGTGTATTGAAATGGGCCGACCAGCTTTAGCTGTAAAGGTATATTCTGAAATTCAGAAAGCTGGTATTCATCCAAGTGCTGTCACATACGGTTTCTATAATAAAGCTTTAATGGAAGGAAGTTGGCCGAGTGTTAAGCGACACTGGAATGTACTGCGAATTGTCATATTTGCTTGTTTCTATCTAAGAAAGTTGCAACAAAAATCTATTAATGGAGATAAGAAGAGTAAAATCACAGTAGAAGAAACCAGAGCTAATTTTCGTCTCCTTAGTCATTCCAGTTCAGTTGATGTCAGTGCACTTGATGTAGACCAGTCGTTTCTAGAGCGAAGAGATAGTGCTAGTCGGCTTAATAGAGGATCAGTGTACCGTTTGTCTTCACGAACAGCTTCACATGGTCAAAGTGATTATGCGATACGTGGGGATTCTTTTTACATTGCTGACAAGTCTCCTTTATTGACAAGTTGCGTTGAGCCTATTCAAAGGATTGGACGAACAACTTCATCCATTAATGTGACACCACGTAAAGTACCTGCTAGTATGTCAGGTGATGATGGTCGTGTTGAAATCTGTATTTCATCGTGTAGTCAATGCTCTGGCTGCAAGTCCCTACTGTATGATGAAGAGATAATGGTTTGCTGGACTGAAAAATCAGCAGAAGAATATAATATTAACTGTCCCTACTGCAATAAGCCACTAGTTCCAAATCTCACTGTTATGATAAGAAAGGTAATTGTTCTATTGTAATATTTAATGTACATTGCACATTTACATGTAGGTGTTACCTGTGAACCGTACTAAAAGGATTGATTCAAAAAGGTCAACTCCTGATCGAGTAATTGAAGAAGAATTACATGTATCTCAGGAAAATGAGAGTACATGTAGCAGCATCCAACAAGAACCAATCCTTCCTTCAAAAAGTGAACCCATTCATCGTAAGAGTCTTAGCTTGGGAAGATTTGAAGCATTTCCTGATCAAAATGGTCATGAAGGTGAATGCGGTACTAGCGACCTGCCAAGTACAGAAACTACAGAAGTGCAGTTAGATAGAGATGATACTGACTCACCTTCTACTACATCTATTGGTCATTACATTTCATTGCTGAGAGAGCGTGGACACAGGAGAACTTCTAGTGCTCCTATAGCTCCTATTGTGCAACCAGCAGTTCCTGCTGTTAAGTCAGCAGGAGATCAAACTCTAGGAGCATCTCCAGTTACTCTAAGGCCAAAAAAGTAAGAGAATTAATAATGAAAAAAAAAACATAGAACTTCAATGTACTATAGTTTGCATGTTGAAGATGATGATCCTTTTACTGTCCCTTATTTGAGTCCAGTTGTGCTTCGAAAAGAATTAGAATCTTTAATAACACAAGGAAAGGGCTCCATTTTAAATTCTGAGAAGGTCTCATTGGAGAAGCCAATTCTCTACTGGAATGCTGTCTGGTACTTCAGCAGGCTCAAACTACCAACTTACCTTCCATTGCTAACACTTCGCAGGATTGTTAAATCTCATCCACAATTGAGTGAGGTAACCACGAGAATTAAACTTATTGTTACAATCATAAGTTTCAATGTTTCACATACATGTAGGTTAGTGTTTTGATGCATGTAAAAACAACATGGGATAGACGTATTTCTGGTACCAGTGACCCTCTTTATATGATATGGACTGGAAGAGGTTCATGAATCTGATAATTATTATTATTTATAATGGTTTATTTTGTCTAGCTCGTGGTGGCCTCCAAGTACCATTAGACAGAAAACAAATGAGAAGGTTTTCTAATATGTTAGTTGCTCAGTCAGTTTATTTGATTTTAAAGGTATTATTTGTAGGCAGTTGCAGCCACTAGTAGCTCGCATGCACTGTGGTGATTTGCAATTTATAATGCGGACTTTACTCAATGATCGTAAAACCTATAGTGATCCAAATGATGCTCACAGAAGCATTTACAGACAAATGTTGTTTTTAAAGTGTGTTCTATTTCCTGGAAGCGTTGACATAGGTAAATCTACGGCACTACCTGTAAATTATAATTTTATGTAAAATTTGCTAGAGTTATTTGATCGAGAGTATCAGTTGTGTTTGCAGAGGTTACCTAAAGAACTAGCTGTTCTTCTGCAGTCGTGGGACTATCCACCAACTCTTAAAGCAACAAATTGTCGCAAAGAATTCGGTGTATTGGAAATTCAGTAATATTTTTGCAATTTATGAGTAATGATTTTGTATCATACGCACACATGCTAATTACTATTGTAATTATTATGTTACATAAAAAATAATAATTTTATCAAAAACTCATGTAGTTACATTCTAATTGTTATATCAAAAGTTCGGTGCAAAAAGGTTCATTATCACAGACAAGTAAAAGGACAGACGGACAGACACATTATGATACAATAATAAGATGATAACTGGTAATAGAAAATAATGAATAATAATTAATTATTATTGATTCATAATAATATTATGTATGTATTAATACCAGGCTTGACTGTTAACTATGAGAATGATATACCACGAGAACTTAAGTATCTCTCCTCAGTTGCTTTTAAGATTTGCATTATTGACAATAATTCAATTATTTTTCTCTAGAATAATGTAAAGACAAAATATCATTAAGCCAGAACATAAGTACCAAATTATTATTAGGTACATGTACATGTATTGAAAGATGCTTTTCGTAAAGATTGGTAATGATAAATGTGTTATAATTAGGGTTTCCCACAGGACTTTGGTATATTGCTCATGCAGCTTCTTTTCAGTCGATTGTCAAGTTGCCCAAAAATTAGGCCACACAGGGTACTATATGTATTTTGACAAAAATCACTAGGAGAGAAATCTTCATTTTCTATAATCTTTCTAATAACATACACATTGTACATGTCCTCACAGTTTTTAAGCTGATTCTTATCAAATTTTGATTTTTATGAAATTTTAAAGTCGCCCAAAAATGACCAAAGGTTACACGGCATATAGCCTTAAAAGTTTCTCAAAATTGAAAAGAAAAGAATTCTATATATTATCAGGACCCCATGGGCTCCTAATATTATACATGTACTCATGTTGCGTAAATAATTTGAGCTTACTCCAATCAAATTTGGATTTTTTAATGAATTTTTGATGTAGTTTGAAAATTGGGCTAACAACCAAGTACTTATGTTGTGTAAAAACTTGGAGCTAATTCTAATCAAAGTTGGATTTTTATAAATTTTTAAAGATGCTCCAAATGCCATGTACTGTATTATAGTGCTTATGGCATGCTATTTAGTTTACTTAACATGTTTTGGGAAACCCTGATTATTACATGTACGTGTACATGGCACATGGGTCTATAGATCTAAAAGGAGTTAGTTTACTTAACATGTTTTGGGAAACCCTGATTATTACATGTACGTGTACATGGCACATGGGTCTATAGATCTAAAAGGAGTTAAAGATACTTTGTCTCCATACATGCATGTACATGTACACGTATTAGGCTAAATGTGTAAGTCATGTCCTCAAGTGTCCCATTTTTAATTCTCCCATGATTTAATTCCAACAATGGCTATAATCTAACAATGGCTATAATTGTCGTCTGTCATATGGCTCTTATGCAAGTAAACAAAATCAGATTCAAATCAGCATGTAAGTAATGCATAGTGCTCCTGCAGAAGTATTAGTCATTTGGCACTCTCTCTATTTTATGTGCTACTATAGCCATCATAAAAAATGTCACACAAATATGTACATGTACATGTAGCCACTGATGTCAAAATTATAGTCACTTGCATCAGCAGCATCCTCAGTCTTTATTACTGCAACAGGCTAATAATGCAAATTCATCAAACAAAATTTTCACCATCCAGTACATTTATTTTTAGATACCGAATTTATCTGGGACAATCTAAATCCTAGAGCACATATAATGGCTGAATATGCGTATCTATAGTTAGAAAATATTTGTCATGGGCGTTTATTTGAGCAAATATGGTACTTATTATTATTATTATGAGACCACTTAAAAACCTACTTAGCAATGCTACCGTGTTACAAGTAAGTATAGCCCTTGAGTAAAAGTAATTAACCAACCTCTTTTTGAGCTTCCTCTTTCAGCTTCTTCTCATAAGTGCTGCATAATCGAGACAATGCAGCCCATGCTCGTGCAGGATCCATTGATGAATGATTTACTTTGGGCATCTCAGACACAGCCTAAACAATAATATTCCAATTATTGATAATTCTAAAAGCTTCAAAGAGACGTACTGATACTTCATCTATAAACTGTCTCATCTTTTCCATATGCTTGTGTATAAAGCTATTCAATACAATCATAAATGGCTCTTTTCGCTTAAACTCAACAAGATTAGCAACATTCTGAACTGCCTTTGTGACTAATTTTAAACTTCTATCAGAGCTGTTGGAGGGTGGCTCTGAGATGATGTTGAACAAATGTGGCTTCAGCAGAGCAGGGCAGATCAATCGCAGGAACAAAAAGCCACTAAAAAGATAAAATAATATATATAATTAACAGGCAATACATACCTTACAGCCCTGGTTCTAACACCATTATCTGATGGCCACTTCCTCTTCACCTGCTCTTGAAGACAATGAAACAAATAACGAAGTGGCCTACAAATACAAATAATCAATCATTTTCGAAACAAAAAAGCTTACAGTGGACAGTTAGTGACAGACATATATATTTCATTTAAGACAAGAGAAATGTGAGACTCAAGTACTTCTTGGTTTTTCGTTGTGTCTGTACCACGTTGCAAATAACCTGGATTTAGCTACAAATTTTATGTATAATGAGACATGTAATGAAACAATACAAAAAACTAACCTCACACGATTCAACTGTATTAATTACAGTTTGAACAGGCTGGCGTAGTACTGATAGCAAATAGTCCATGGCCATTGTTTTCATAAACTGATCCATGAGCATTGTTGCTATTGTGCTTGCTCGAAACAATGTAGCAACTTCATCTGCAAAGTTAGTAAATAATCATTTATACAAATACATGTAGCTCAATATCAACCTTCTTTAGCAATAGCTCTTTCTGTACACTTTGAAAGTATTTGTAGTACTTTTTGATGGTGACAGAATATTTCAATTAATGTTCCAGCAAGCTCACTGTGATGCTCACTACAGACTCTAGCCAGAGTTTCAATAACAACTAAGTCATCAGACAAAATTATCTACATTAGATATACAGTATTATGACAAACAGTAAATAAAATAAAATATTTACTTCTGACAAGCCTCTGTATTCCTCTAATGGCAGAATAACTTCATGTTTGAAAGTGGCAATAACCCTAAGAGATCCTTTACTAGCCCTTGTGTTAGGAATAAGTAAAGCATGCCATTGGTCATCATCTTGTCCATTTGGTAGTTTCTCTAGGATGAGTTCAACAGTACCTGTAGCAATACTAAAGTACCATTAGCACCTTGAAATCAACATACCTAAACTTGCATCTTTAGTAGCATATGAAAGCAATCCTTTCCTAGTACATGTTACATCAACTGTTACAACACTAGAACTGGCTTGCAAATCTCTATTAACAGAGTAACTATACTAATATTCATTTAGCATTTTTTCCTCACTCAAAACGGTAACTGTCTTCAAATATGCAAGGCTGCTCATCACTGATTTGACGAGTCCTTGCAACAAAACAACTATCGACTGCAATACGGCAAAATATTTGGGTGTGAGCAAGTTTAGTCAGTCTACATTCCTTAATTTGAAGAGCTAACGAACGAATTTGCTGAACTTCAGAGCGTGACGCACTTGATTTTTTGTTTGTGCATTGCCTCATGAGACGTAGCCAATCCTGAGAAAATCATAGCATAGTACAAAACCTAATTCAATTATTTAGTACCTGAGCCGATTCAGCAGTACCAGTGCAAATATAATGATAAAACAATTCATTTAAATATTGCAGCATTATAACAAAGCAGTCATCCCTACACCAAACAAAATAAAGCGACACCAAGCCAGACAACATTACCTTCCATACAAACTAGGATGAACAGGATGTATTTTGCATTCTTTTAAATCAAGGAGACCCCTGGGGCGATGACTCTATAAAGAGAAAATATGAAAAGTATTTACAGCTATTAAAGCAACATTTCATCAAAATGGCAGCATGGCTTGGCTGAATTCAGGAATTTTTAAAATCAAAAGTATACATGTACATGTACCTTTTCATTGTCATAATAAAGAAGCTTCTGATCCTTGTACTTTAAATGAAAATAAAATTCCTTCCATTTACCATATACAGGAGATTTTTTACCTGCAAGTACATAAAACAGCTCATTTTAATGTCAATGTACATGTCCCTTTACCTCTCCTCAATTGCAATACACCTGTTTTGTCACCTGGAAAATCGCCCCGAGTAATGTAACTATGAGTTCTTCCTCTGTGTTTGTGTTGATACGAATCAGCGAATGTAGTTTGCTAATATCAAGGATAAACAAAATAACAAAATAAATGTACATACTGGAGGTAAAGGCAACTGCAACTTTAATCCATCAAGAATGACCTCTTTCTTATAACGGTCGATGATATCATCCATAGAGTTAAAGCAACGACCTCCAACAACATAATACCCAGTCGAATCTTTTTGAATTAAAAATCGCTGAACAGATTCAAATGTCCTAAATACAAATTATTTTGAATGATCGAGTTTCCAGTAGCATTAAGCTGTTAATCAAATAACATACATGTATGATGTCACGAATCCCATAACAAGGTTGTGCAATTAATATCAAATTTAAAGTGACACAATACATTAATGTAAAGTAATTAGTACCTTACTGACAGTGAGTACATTCCTTCGTGTTGACCAGGACGCACAAGAAAATCTCCAGGTCCGCCTTCTACAAAAACAAAATAATCAGACTGAAAGATCATGAACGAACTTTGCATCAATAAATCAATGGCTTCTTCTCTGCCAGTTTCACTGTGATACCAGGGTTTCCCATAATTTGAATCAGCATCAGCCTACAATATAAATGTACATGTACAATTAAGTGCAATAAGAGGTGCAGCAAGGTAGTAATTATACAGTTGGACTTATTCAATCAAGAGCCACAAGAAATAAATTATTATGCACACAAATATGATGTACACCATACATGTACATGTACATGTACAATTATGATTGAAGGAAATGTCAGATATTACAAATAAGCTATACATCCTTATAACACCTTATCTACATGTATAAGGAAGCAGTTATAGGGAAATACATAGCCTTGACTATATAATCACTATATTTCCTTTATGACGAGACAATAGTATCAAGTGATTTTGTAGTGTGCCAAATGAATAGAGCCAACAGGTTCTGCTAATATTACTCACCACAAATTCCATGACAGAAAGAGGAATCAGACCACTTTCTCCAGTTTTTTGTGAGCAGCCCCATCCCCATTCCTTATTCAGATCACTCAACAATACAAACACTTCCCCAACTGCAATACTAAGGAACATTATAAAAATACACACAGTTTTGCAAATATACTTCAATTCATCTGTTCCTGGCGCTTTTCTGTGAGGTTCCACTGCTCTCCACAGGCTATGTAACTTCACAGGCTAAAAATAAAGAAATCAAAATTATTATAACTTCAGTAGCACAACACAGCATCCAAAGAATGTACACTTATTTACTTATAACAACATTTACACAATGGAAGATACATTGTAGATGGTCACACAGGTGGCTAAAAGTATCATTAGCTAGCTCTTAAGGTAACTTACAGCAGGTGGCATAATGGGAACTTCCAGTCCTTCATTCTCAAGTATATACGAGCAGTTGGTATAATAGCCAATCAGATCCACCAAAGACGAAAACTGCCGACCACCAATATAGTAGTCACCACAAATGGAATTAATTTTAAAATGATGAATCTGCCCGAGTTTACTCAAGTATGAGATAGCATAGTCACCAGGTATATTTGTACTGTCCCTTACAAGATACGCACCTGGAACACCTACCGCCTGTAACCTCTCATATGACATCTGACGCGATATTTTACCATGATACCACCTATGTTAACACATATAATGATGTGAAGGAAAATTGTTATTACTCACGATTCCGAGGGTGGAGCTGACAAATCAAGGGCAGCTTCTTCATCAGACATATCATCATAGGAGTCTTCATCGTCAGCATAGCCCTTGTACGTATCCAGATACTGAAGCTGAGCATATATCAACGCACCTTCAGGAAGCATTATATCGTCACCATCTTCAGAGTACTGATCTGATATGGAAGGAGGACGGAGTGTTGCCCTATCCGACGCCATGGCTGTGCTTTTCTTTCTGAAGATTAGCCAAATCCAAGATTAATCAAAGGCGGATACACCACGCCCCTCTTACTCCTCCCACTGGTAATAATCCTTTTTAAAATGTAGACTAATTTATAAGGTAGATTAATTATTTAGAAGGTAGATTAATTTTCATTTCAATACACGCATGCAGAAAACATACACATACACACAAATAATAATAAACACAAATAAAATCATCCTAGTAATCAATGATGTGTAAACTGAATCCGCCCAACAGGAAATCCTAGTCTTCTGTGATTAATGTTCTTTATAGTTAGTGGTTGTTGAGTATAAAAAGATATGCATTCTGGTACAGAGCGAAAAGGAGAACTGAACTGCCCAAGCACAAATCCCTTAGGTCCGTTGCTTATTTTGAGATGTATAAAGCCGTGGGCTGCCGGACTAGTTCGATCTCTATAAAACATGCGAATAAAATTAATAAAGGATACAACATTAATCTATGATTAATTTTTATGTAGCATTAAGCCAAGATGTGTTGACTCATTCTTCTAGGAATCAACACAAGCCATTAAAACAAACAGTAGTATTCCTACAAAAGCTGCCAATAGCAAATTTGTCGTGTGATAGCAGTCATGAGGATAAAGGTTTATACAAATCACAAATCAATGCCATACATGGAAAAACTGCTAAAATGTACACAATAGCCAACACAGCAAAATCAAGGTTTTGGTCAATAAAGCAACCACAATGTCTACATTTAAAAATGCAAACACCATTTATACTGAAAGCATACCAGGATAGGCTTGTTTGCTTTTGGTTATACTGAACAAAAATAAAAACAAAAAATAAACAAACACTAACAGTCTAAAGACGTTATACATAACAGCTACATGTACAAATATGTGACATACAAAGTACATGTACATGTACATGTACATATACGTAGCCACAAAAATCTAAGCCCAGACTTTACAAATTTAATTAGAATTTAAAAATCAACATGCCAAACGATGCATTACCTTATAGACAGAGAATAGTCCATCTTACAGCTCTCACTATTTCTGACTAAGAAACTGAAGTCAGGTTGATTTCTAAGTATGTCTTCAGCTTGATCCCGACTAATCTTCCCATGATACCAACTAGATACAAAAAAGGAAGTGAAACCAAAAATGATACGCCAATGTAATCAGTGAAAAGTAAATACAGTGACTTACAGTTGTTCTTCCAAAGAACATGATGTATCGATAGGGAAGGCCGGTGGCATAAGTGGTTGGATATCTGATGGATGTGATATGTCAGATGGTAAAAGTTGTGGATAGCCATGTTGTTTTTTATTAGTAGCCCGAGGAGGTAATTTAGGGGGACATGCTGGCTGATTGACGTAATCATGCATATACCCTTCCCCATTTAATACTCTCTCATGCAAAGGCATAGACATCTCATCATTATGTGGTAGGACAGAATCAGGTGGTTCTACATAGTCCGACTCACCTGTACTTGCCCTTGGACGTGACGTCTCTGGAACAGGAGGAGGAGTAGGAGAAGGTGACAAAAAGTGAGTATCATTAGGAACAGAAGCAACAGTGGTAGTCAGGGTTGATGTAGTGTCTGGTAGTTTGGGTGGGAGGGGTGGCTCTGTTTCAGACAACTCGTTGTTTGAACCCTTGGGAGACTTGTATGGATCAATACGATTAGCTATCAATTTTGGTGGCTCAGTTTCTGACCTTTGGCGTAGTTTGATAAACTTTGTAGAATCCCAAGGATCATCATAATCGCCAGGTCGTGGTTTCGATATACTAGGTGATGACTGAGGTGAAACTTGCTCAACTTCCTCTTCCTCTTCATTTACAGAAGGTGGAAGAGGGGGTAAATAATCTGGAGGTTCACTAAGCTTTTCAGGAGCCTCTTGAGGTTTACGACTTCCCCGCTTCAAATGAGGGGGCTTGGGAGGAGGGACACCTTTTCGGGACTCACCCTCACCTAGGACATCATATGGTACACTGTAATCACTTGTGTCAGTTACGTGTAACTTTTCAACAGAGCGATTCAATTGGCTAGCTCTGAAATCAGGAGCATTATGAGAGAGAATCTTGTCATGCATACTCATATGTCGCTTATCTTGTGCTAACAGACGGGCAGGGGAAGGTTGAGGAGAACTTCCACTAACACTCATGTTCCTGAGCGTGTCAGCAGGTACAAAATAATCCTCTTGAGGCCTCGTTCCCGCCACTGGAGGGTGATTTTTAAAACCAGTAGTAGACATTGTACCACTAGATTGGGTCCGCCTATAACCACTTACAGTAGAGAAGGACCCTCCTGCTCCACTAGAGTCTGAACGATTCCGAGGCGGTAACTCTGGAGGAGACACGTCCAGAATAGCTGTAGATGATTCTACTGCCAATATAATATCTTCTTCACTTTTGTGGCGACGAAATGGTTCCACAGGTATGAGCGATGGCGAGGAAGAGGATGTTTCAAGGGTCTGATGTGTCACATGACGATCTTTGGGGGATTTCATTCGTTTAAACAGGGCCATCCCACAACCTACCAGCAACTACAATCTAATGTCCACTATAAAAGCTATAAGACAACTACTCAACCATAAAGACAACTGCCCGAATGCCACTGACTGAACCACTGTCACCAATATTAATTTTATAAGAAAGTTATTAATTAAATGGTACCACCTACTTCCGGCCATAAAAACACAATACACAAAAATAATTTTTCACAAAATAACCATAGTAATAATAATTTATGATGGCAGCGAACTCTGTTATGCTTCACTTTGCCTCATAGCACTAAGCCCCTTAGCAGCCCAGGTTTCTGCATCAACTAACGACTTCGAAAAAGAATTAAGAGAAGCTAATACACCAGAACCTAAGAAAGCAGCATGTTGTCTGTTCTCACTTCCATGAACTTGTACATCCAAGCGAGGATTCAGAGCTTGCAATTCCTTCTGTAAACGCTCCTGTAGTCCAATTAATAGTGTTGTACCACCAGCTAGATAGATATGACGCGCCATTTGACGACGCATATCAATAGGGCATTGATCAATGGCCTTTTGAACCATCTCATGTAATCCAAGTACATCTTTACCCCACAATCCAGGAGAAAATAAACCTTCCGGGGATTTAAATAAAGGCGAATGAAGATGTATCACTTTTCTGTGATCTGTTAACTGGAACCGGTCAACATCAACAGCTCGAATATAATTAGAAGGAGACTCTTCACATTGGCATACATCTTCAAGATAATTCTGAGACAAGAAGCATATATTTTCTTTTATATAACGCACGATAAACATCTCAGCCTCAGAAAAGTAACGAATGCCTTCTGCAGCTATCAGCTTGGACAAATTTTCATTGATGGAGTGACCTCCATAAGGAGAATGAGAAGCACCAGCATCAACTTTAAAACCGTCAATGATAGGAACGACATCCGTAGAATCGCCAAGATTGACAACAATACCCGAAGTGTGGTTGTAAGAGTATAATGCCATTGTTGTTTGCTCTTGAATTAAAACACTCTGAAAATTGAGTACTTCCAAGAGTATCTCAGCCAGTATAACTTGCTCCGATTCTGGCATTACTGGAGATACAGAAATTAAAGCATTGCTGTTCTGAGGCTCAAGGTGCAAAGACTTGCAAATTTTCTGAATTATAAACTGGAAACAATCTCTCATAGGTACATTAGCATCGAGTCGAAGGCGATGACGACATGGATAAATTAGTTTTGTGGTAGAGCGTATTTCAGGCAACAGGGCTTCATTCCCACATTCAATTATCTTATCACCATTAGCAGCACAGACATTGGGGAAAAAGAGCTGAGGGTAAGTATTCTCGTGGACTATTCCAGCTCGAACAGAGCAAGCTCCGAGGTCTACAATAAGAGTTAAAGCAGACTGACTAGGAGAAAGGGACAGTCTGTGTGTCATGGTAGGATGAACTGACTCAAGTGACAACACTCGATACCAAGTAGCTAATTCCTGCATATTCTTTACTCGGAGCATTAGGGAGTTACTACTCCCTTTTTCAATTATTTCCAACTGCAGGTTATCATGCTTAACTATCTTGGAATCGGCTAAGCGAATAAATGATGTAGCTTTTGCAGAAGTCTCCCCATCATAGTAAAAGACGCTACCTCGCGTGACACGAAAGAAGCGAAGCTTCCATCCTTTCCTCACTGAAGGTTTTCGTTGATTCACAGGTAGTTTTTCCAAATAGCCAGAATATCGTGCATTCTCTTCATTTGCCTGTGTTATGACACCAGGCTGACTGTCATTATAAAGCTCTTCTAACAGACATGTTGGATCCCATTCAATACTTGATTGAGGTGCCGCTAATGATACAGCAGTTTGTTCTTGTTCTTTATTCTTAACTTTCTTCGATTTTTGAGTTGACTTCTTTTTGGAAGGTTTTGAGGGTACAGGATCAGGTGTTGCTGATGAACCATAAACACTTTTGCTGCCCTTTGACTCCTCATTTCGTAATTCTGTTTCACTGGCAGTTTCGCTCAATATTTCATCTGAGCTATTCTCAGGTTTAGACACTGATTTCACAAGCTGATCTTTAAGAAGAGGACTGACAGGAGGGGACACAGATGTTATTTGTCCTGCCTCTGAAGCCATGTTAGAAGTCCTTTTAGGCACTTGTGGAGAGCCTTCTAATTCCTCTATTGAAATATCAGAAGAGGCTTCTTTTATCTGCTTTTTGATATCAGAGTCAGACGGCACTTTTTCAATCTCCGTATCGACTACACTTGCATTAGCATCATTTGAGGGCTTCATTTTACCTAAAATTAAAAAAATATATATATAATTTAATTACACAGTATACACATACATGCAGTGTACACAAAATATAATGTCCAAGAAGAAGAAAAATGATTCATGAAGTAAAATATACATATAAAAAGTAAATAAAATATTTAATATGTAGGCATTTAAATTATAGGCATTTGATATTAAGTACTAAATAAAAAAATTCTAAGCTTCAGATTTCATATTCATCCATAACTTGAACAGCAGTTACCAGCAATGTTAAGGAAAATGTACTCCATAATCAAAGCATAAACATATGGCCCAAGTTTTTGTAAATTCAAAAGGCTAACAACCTCATGCCAGCAACAAATAAAAAGATGTAACAATATGAACAAGAGCTCTCAACATTGTTTTCTGTAAGGTTAAAATTGTGAAGCATACCGTACATTTGGCAGCATAATGAAACATGATAGCTAGCAGTGAACAACAAGAACATTGGTTTGCTATAATGTTGTTGTACACGTACATAAGCAAACACCTGGCATTGTGAAAGTAAAATTTAAGCTTAATACCATGATACATGTATCTGGTAAGTAGAAAAGTTTCAGGCAGAAAATTTTGTGGAAAGCTCTGCAAGGTGCTGCTTTGTCATTATGAATGTCAGCCATCTATTAACCACAGTTTAGCCCTTTCACGTACACATGTTCTTGAATCCTTCACAACATCTTTAAAATTTTGCTTGCTATTATTGGGATAGATGCCATTGTAGGAAATATTGTTTACAATTATTTTGGCATAGCGCTAAGCATCATCAATTTGCTCAAAAAAATCGACAAAATTCCATTATGAACAAAATACACTGTACTATTACATTGTACTATAGAACAGAGTACATTGTATTTCATCAATACTTTTGACTTTTATTATTGTATATGTTCCTATGTTTGATCAAAATTAGACTTTTAAGGCTCAAAAATATAATTTTCATTTTAATTAATGCTCTGGTAAAATCCACTTGTGACAAAATGTGTATGTAAGAAATTTAATTAGAAGTATGCTCATACCAAAACAGGAAAATAAACACTTGTTTGCACAACTGCTATGAATTTATGTCCCAAATCTCTAGTGGTTTGTAACAGTAAAATGATACATTACAACTGAACAAAGTGATACACAAACACTCACTGTTGACAAGTGAAAAATCTTGAACTTCATCCGAGAGAAAACATATGACGTAGCAATCTTGTTTGATTGCATTGCTGCTCAAACATAAAGAAAGGAGCTCACGAAGTGCTGAACAAGACGGTGGACCCTCTTCATCTGCTACTTTTAAAGAATGTTCAGTTGCAAGGTGGGACTTCAAATGAACAATATCATCGAGTGTTCTCCTGATGGGTTTTGGCCTGTCTGACAGTCTAATAACCCACTGGTCATCTTCTTGGGTAACAGCAACAGATTTATCGAAAGATGTGGACTGAATGCTATTGTCCTCCATCGTGAAACTAAAAGAAGGATCAATGACAGATTTGAAAAGTAAGGAGAGCCTTTCAGAGTTAGTGCCCAGTGTTTGAGCTAACTCAGTGACGAAGTCCCACTGCCTTGTTTTCTTGTACAGGTCTGAAAGCTTTCCTCCAACCTCCCGAAGAAGATTTTCGAGAACAAGCTGCTGCTGTATGAAGGTCTTGCGTGGTGGAAGAGGGGGAGGACTGACAGGAGGAGGGCTTTGTTGATCGGTATCTGCAGGAAGGATGGAACTCATCTTGTAGGTCTTCTTGCTGAACTAAATTGATGGGTGTGGTCATGTGGTGCGATCCTGAGCTGATCTGCTGATTATGATCTGAATGGCTGAATGCGGTTATTGAGATCATAATCATGATCATGTGAACTATAGTGATTAGTGTCATCACGTGGTGACAAAGAATAGGTGTGTCGTCCATAGTCTGGTCGTCCACCCCAAACAAAATGACTCACAAGAATGGCTATGTCCAAGTACCGACATTCGATTCTGATGAAGGCCCTCCACCCTTTCAGCAAAAGTCTTCACCCAATTCAAGCTCTTGGACCAACAGACTAAAACCAGGACTCTTCATTAATTTCGGAAAGGACAGACATCAGGTACAAAGTGAATCCGAAGAAGTAGAAATGGCCACATTTAAAAGAAAGAAACCAAAGCACAAGCGTTCAAAGGGCTCAAAGAGTCCAACTACGAAGAAACCACCAATAGAAGTAATTGTAGAGCCTTTGGTACCAGGAGATACAATTCAGAGAGTGGCATTGAGATACGCTTGTCCGGTTAGTTAACACGGAATTATACATACACGTATAACGATCAATTTTTAACACTGTGCAAATTTTAATACTGTATAACCTGAAATACATGTTAAAGTTTTATAATAGTGATTAGCAGCCCATGTCATTAATGGGCTCACCACACCTAATCTGATTACCATTAATTCTCTGCCAATATTTCCATTTATAAAGTATGATGCATGCATTTGATGTAATTGTATGGTACATGTGAATTAGATTTTTGGTTCTTTTCAAAATTTAAACTGACGTGACAACTGTGGTATGTTATGAGCTTGAAACTAGTCAAACTACCATTGTGGATGGTGTGCTTAGTACTACATGATATTTATGGCTCTAATTAGACAGTAGCTTCCTTTTACCCTTTATTTTTTCCATATCATTTCTTGGTACTTTTGATCAAAGTTGCCGTTATGGGTGCTGTAGTATCTTTAAAAATTGTTATCACTCATTATTGTTTTGGACATAAACCTTTTTATCTGCTACTCTTTGAACAAATCTAGACAATTTAAGACTAATTAAATACATGTACTGTACATAGAAGTCGTGCTTATAACTTTCATGATGCATAATATTTTGGTATTATTCCTTTTTTTCTTTCAAATGGAGTAATAATGGTGTTAAATAATTTGCAGAAGCTTTTTGCTATAAAATTGATAAAATGCTGTTTTGTGCTCATACAATTATACTTAGTGTCAATATTATTTAATGAGTTAGTACTTGAATGTTTAGGCAGATTTATAATGCTACGCTAGTCCTGATATTACGTTGATGCTGAAGTTGAATTTGGTTCAAATCTAGTGTAAAGCATGCATCAAAAGGTCAAATCACCCACACTTTTGATTAAAAATTGATATACACTGACCTGGCATCTTTTTGCAAACCCACCTTTACTCCCTGAGTAGCTCTCATTCATTCTTTTGATCACTGTAGTTTCCTTTTACCCTTTACTATTAACAGTGATTCCTTTATACTTGTGATTAAAGTTGCTGTTGTGGCAACTGTATTATCATTAAAAGTTATCACATATTATTGTTTTGGACATTGTGAACCTTTTATTTGCTACACTTTGACAAATTAAGGTTTTTTGGTATATCCCATTCAAATGGAATGATAATGGACATGTATAGTTTTGCCAGTGTATAATGCTATTTTTTTGCTAAGAAAATAATTGATTATATTATTTGATCATGGTATTGTTTGTTACTTGAGTGTTACTCCCACGGTAGCTCTCACTTTGTTAACTTACAATTTCGAGAGCTTGATTATACTGCAATACTTACTTACACACATAGTTGAGAGATTTGTAAACTACAGGTACTTGTGTACAATAATATTTTTTACATATGGACTATACTCTTCAACTACATATACATGTACATGTACCTCAATTAGCATAAACTGCATTATTGGAATATATTTTGACTAATAATGTCTTATAATGTTACAGTAATTTTTTTAACATTTAGGTGGCTGAGTTACGCAGAATTAATAAATTGTATAATGACACAGATTTTTATGCACTAAAGTCGATAAAGATACCAGTGAAAGAGAATGGGTTATTAACTGATGCTGCTGAAAGAGAAAAAAGACGAATTACTGTGGCTGAAAATGTTAGCAAGTCTGGTACACAAAGTTCAAACTCTGATGATCATCATTTTGGTGGACCAGAATCGTATTATAATTCTGATGTATCGCAAGATGCTGATGATGAATGTGGTGAAGAATCTGATGGAACTGAGTATAGGTAAAGTAAACTGCTATAAATTATAAATTACAATTACTTTTATTTTAGAGATATTAGTATACAAAGTGCACTAAAATGGAAACACACTGGGCAGTCTCTTCTGGAGAAACTAGATGAAGATCTTCAGCGTGTGAAAGATCAAACTAACATTCAAGAAGTTCGATTAACTTTTGACACTCCCTCAATTCACCCTGTGACAGTAAAAGAGTATACCAAGACATTGTTTGAAATACCAGATTGGAGAATTTTACTAGTGTGTGCAGTTGGTATAATTATTTTGATTGTTGTTGGTGCTGTTGTGACATGCGCAAGAGGCCACTGTCCATTCACATAGTCAAATTAACCATCAATTTCATGTTCATTGTGTTGCAATAATGTTATTATTTAATACTCATGGAAGACAAAATTATTAATTTACCATTTATGATGATATTAATAACAACAATAATTTATTGATAATTATTACTAGTTCTCTTCCTCACTCTCTTCTTCAGCATTCTCCAACCACTCTATGACAGGTGCGACAGACTTAAGGATTTCCTGCTGCTCTTTTGATGCTCGAGTTCCTTTGAACTGACTATGCCAGCTTAGTATTGTGCTCTCATCAAGAACATCAAGGTTATATAATTCCAGCACGATTTTCGCAAAAATGGGCCTTATTGCATATTCTTTCATAGCACTACTAGTGACAAGATTCAAAACACTAGCTTGAAGATCATTGCCCTTGACATAGTGAAGTAAGAGGGTCTTATGATAACGAAGGCTCTTGATAATGTACTCGATTAGAACTGGTTTTTTTCCTTCTGTACTTTCACTTGGACCTTCTAAGAGAGCTTTCATGACATTAAGAGGTACTTCTTGAATAGGAATGTTATAGGCATGCTTAGATGCATTGATCATTAGAATTGTATTCTCTGGCTTCACTGAGTCGGTTACACCTGAACGTACACAATCTAATGTCTCGGCATAAAAAGAATCCTCAGCATCATCTAATTCAGTTGTTAGAGGTAGTGGGGATGGCGAACGGGTGCCATTGCTGTCACTAGACGACTCTTGAGATATATTACCACTTGTTATATGAGGATGCCACTTCTCATGTATAAATCGTCCAGATTCATCGTCACTGTCTGGTTGGGGTGGGTCCCATTTAAAGCCCTTCCCACCACAACCCACATCACTATCAACACACTCTGGCATTGTAATAGGCAAAGCTTGTTCAGCGTCACGATCTGTCTCATCCCCCCAGTCGTCAGTATCAAAGGATAGAGAATTCTTACTGGTCGTTAACCGAGTACCACTGACCACACGAAAGTCTTGTCCCACAACAACATTAAACGAAATTATGCAACCAGGCTCTACAATAACACCATCTTTAAATTCTACATTACTTGCAATGATTGAATTTGAAAGCTTACAGCTGTCACCGATTGTGACATCATCCCATATATAGCAACCACTAATCGTCACTCCTTTTCCAATATTGCAACGCTGACCAATTGAAGAATGAGAAATAACAGTAGAAGCCCCAACAGTAGTGTCTGGCCCCAAAACAACATCTTCTTCTAGCACACAATCAAACGCAAGAGATATACCGCTACTGAGATAGAGGTTGTGTCGACCATATGAGTAAGGCTCCAGAATACTATTGTCAGGTACCAAAGGATATACCCATCTATACATGACATCTTTGCTCACAGCTTCATATGTCTGAAGGTTGCTAACACGGGCTGCATATTGATCAGAAATGAAATGAGCATAGATATAATTTCCTAATACTTCCTCATTTACGATAATGCCACGAATAAAGTGATATCGTGTTTGATAATCAAAATTGTCAGAAAAAAGTTGAGGAACATTTGGAGAGCAAACACTTATGTGGCAATCGAGAACATCGTAGTGAATATCTATTTCTTCATTCTCTTCAAATATATCGGTAGGAACACTTATTTTTTTCTTGCCAATTGGCTTTTCACAGAAGAGTAATCTACCTGAACTTGAACTTGTCGCTATTAGAATATCATCTTCTTTGCTTCTCGTTCTGTGACCAGGAGCTGCTTTCTTGTAAACATTTGTCATAACGGTCATTTTGTCAGTTTCGCGTAATTTCTTGTGCTTCTTGATGACTTCCTGTAACTCCATGTTGGACACTAGATCTCCTGACACTAAAACAAAATCAGATTTTATGCAAGCTTGAGAGTCGATGTCACGCAGTGCATCCCCAACCGATGGACAATTTTCTGACATTATGATGTGGAGCTTAATAGGGGATGACTGCTTGCTCCACCTTGACTGGTTGAAGTGCTTCTTTATGGCATCAGCATGGGCACAGCAGTAGATGAACACTTCTTCTATACCAGATACGGCGAGAAATTCAACGGTGTAATCAATGAGAGGGCGATTCACCAAAGGTAATAAAGCTCTGGGTTTCTCAGTTGTCAGAGGGAGAAATCTGAAGTTAAAACTATCAGCTATAACGACAGCTTGAATTACATCTTCTGGATTCCACTTTTTCCCACCTTTCTTTACAACTTTAGAACTCATTCTTTTCTTATCCACAAAACGTAGAAACGTGCTTTAAGTGAACTGCTTTTTAACCTTTTTACAGCCCGTAAAGGCACGCCTATGCACACGCCTTCAATTTATCAAAATGAAGTTTGTAGATGTGTTTTGAGATTAATAATAATTTTTGTTGTTTTTAGTTTCAGTTATAGCTAAGTGAAGCTCTAACCAATTGTGTGAAATGGCCACCTTTTTGCAGGAAAAGGAAAATTTAGAGGTGTCTACAATAATATCAGAAATGCAAAAATGCTCTCTTGATTACCAAGCCAAAGGTAACTTTAATGGTACAGTTAGGCTATTGTATTATGTCCTTTGATAAACTTTCAGTATAATCCATAATTTTGATACTTCAATTTTTTATAAATTTTCAACATGGGTGAGGTGAGATTGGAGCCGAAGCCCTCCTATCCTGATATAAAACTAGCTGACTTTGCATTAAAAGTACATCTTCATTCAGTAGTGGGGTTTCCTACTGGATTTTGACATAGTGCTCATACAACTTATTGTCAGAGGATTATAAAGTTGTTGAAAAATTGCTATTAAATTTATATTTTAATTGAATTTTTAAAGCTGCTCAAAAATTGTGAAAAATGGCTAGGAAAACTTTTTTATTTTCTGATGCATACATGTATACATATTCCTATGTTGTGTATCAACTTTGAGCTGATTCTGATTAAGTTTTGATTTTCTACTAATTTTAAGAAAGTTAATCAACAGCCAGGCACTATAGTGCCTGTCAGCATTTATGGGAAATCCCGGTCAGTAGTTCTCGTTGTTATTCAGAAAGGACAATTAAAGAAATAAACCACTTGAAATCCAACTAGTTTTTAGTATAGTCATGCATTTTGTGTAAACTATGCTTATATCTTCAGTCCCCAATTTAAATTACCATACAGCACTTTATTTTAGCAATTTTGCTGTAAAATTGTAATTGGCGGTTTTTAATTTGGTTTTTTTGTGTACACATACATTACGGACCATGCGCATTAATGATTGGCGGTTTTAATATTGGCAATTCTGCTTGCAGAATCCCACCAAATTAAAGTGTTATACCATATATTCCACCGTGACTGCTACTGTTTTTATTGACAATATTAAATTAATTATATTATTAATAATATTAAATCACTGGTATTGACAATTATGTATGAATCAGATTTCATGTACATTATTTTGTTTTTGCTTCAAATTAATTACTCCTTGATTTTGTTAAATTAGCTGTAGTTTCTCCACTCTTACTAGAAGCTTTTGTTTATCTGTAATGTTAAAAATGCTGAGCATGTAGAGTTTATCTAATCAATGAAGTAAAGCTTATTGCCTTTGTGATTTGAACTACGTAACTTTATTAGTTATTCTTTGTTCAACTAAATATGCTTTTCTTGCAAAAAAATCTATTTTGGTGTTTGTGAAATTTTTTATCTTTTTTCAGCTGAAGAAATTATTCATCTCTTAAAGTTTGCTAATATTAGTTTACAAGACCTTTCTCCAAAGACCCAGTTACATATACATACTTTAGCAGAAACAGCTGTTGATTTAAATGTATGTGACTCTAGCCCTGCAAGGTAAATCCTAAACTAAGATGTGTCATGTGATTAGTTTGGTAAATTGCTTAGTATTTCCTTAGGAATAGTACCACTATTACAAGAAGATGCAAGATTGAAATATGAATTATCAGAGTTGAAGCAGTCATTGAGACACAGTAATATTGTTCTTGAAAAGTCTGCTGTTGATAAAGAATGTTTCTCAAAGTAATTTCAAACTTGTTTGTTTACTAGTTACTTTTTCAGAATTTCTAACGAGTTGTTATCTGAAATGAAATTGCAGAATCCAAGTACTGAAACAAAGTTTTTGGGAGAAAAGTCACAGCAATACAAGAAATTGGCATCAAGTCTGCAGGTTCCATTGTTATAGCCTAATACAATTCACTCTAGCTGTACAATTATAGACTGAACTAGTTGCAAATTCATTTAATAAAGAACACCAGCATCTGGCATTACAAAGATACTATGAGGTAAATGAAAAATTTGCAATCGAATTAGTGTCCCATTTCTTAAACAGTTCGTGTCATTAGTTTATTTTGTGGTGGACTTAATATTTTAGCCTTACTGTACGAGTAGATTAATTGGCAATAAATTAATACTGATGATTGGCAGTTCTATTAAGAAATGGCCAATATAAAATCTGCCATTTTCGTTTCAAACTGAGCATGCTTAATGGCACTTGGTACGAAATCACCAAATAAAATTCGCCTTTAACTTTACACAGGCAAATTCGCCAAAATATTATTCTCACCAAAAATAATTTTGTAGAGTATTGATTATCACCTGTATGAATATGTAGACCTGGGGTCAATTACAAATTGTAATTGTAATTTAAGGGTCAGTTACAATTATATAATTGTATTAATAATTGAAGCGTAAAGGCAGGTTCCCATTATGACGCATGAATGTCTGTCACAACCAGAAGTGCTGTATAAACCAATGGAAGCATGCGTCAATGTGCCAGATTAGAAAACACTTCTATTCTGACACATTGAAGCATGCTCCCATTGGTTTATGCAACACTTCCGGTCATGACGCTAGCGTATCAAAAGCAGTAAAAGCAGTGTGTCATATTGAGAACCCACCTTAAGTCTGAACAAAATGTAATTGGAATTACTGCAACATGAAAAATTGTGCTTCAGTCTATGTGTAAATGTATGTACATTTTTAATCGACCCCAGGTCTGGATCAGTTTACTTAAAACCTCTTTAAACAACATCTCCATTAATGGAGAGTATCAAGTGTATCTATTTGGACAATTACTGTATAAAGTAACCTCAGCATAAAGGACATCACTGTACTTTCTTGTCCCAAAGTGTCCCATTATATAGAAGTTTTTATTGCACTTTCCCATTATATAGAAGTTTCACTGTACTTTATTTAAACTCTCCCTTTTCCCTCTCTTTATAGGAAATTCAGAGTTTAGAAAGTCGTCTTCTTCCATTAAATAAACAGTTAAAAAATTTTACAGACTTGCCACCAGTATGTAATAATAACGGCACTATATGTAAACAGATTTCACCATAAATTTTTGATACCTGACTCTTAGGATTTAAGCTTAGCAAAACTAAAAATTCACAAAGAGAAATTGGTTTTGGTAATTTGCTTAATATTCCTAATGAATTGTTATTATAATTTGTTGTAGGAAGAATTGGAAAAGGAGCTATCGACAAAAATTGATCTATTTAAAGCTGAAAATTGTTAATGTTAGTATCACTGGACGATATATCTACAGTTTGAATAATTAATAATGTAATAAACAGTCTTTATATATACATGTAGTTGTATATTTTATTAATATTGTGATTATTGTCACTAAGAGTATAGTGTTTGATTCAAGGCAGATCTGATGACAGATGAAATTAAAATGAGTTGACTTATTGTAATTACTATAACATCATTTTATGCATTGTACTTAAAAAATTAAACTAGGAAATTTATCATTCTATCATGTACTACATGTAGTAGGTATATCAACACTGTTGTTTAAAACTTTTAATGCTGGGTGGAGAACTGCTTGTCGTCTCTGTTGATGTAGGAAGTACAACAATTCAACTCGGTCTAGCCTCATTTTCTCTACATAATCTCTTTCCTGTTATAAACCATAATTACTGTAGTATTAACTATAACTAACTCTGTATTTAAGTGTGAAGTTATACTTTGATAATTGCGTCGCAAACTTCACAACTTCTCTGTCAAAAGCGTCAATGTCCTATTTTAATTTGAAGAACATAATTAAATATTAAGATAATTTGAGTCACTTTGTGCAAAGTAGCTCTTTGTCTCGCTTCTTTTAATCTCAATAATGATGAACCTATAATAAAAGTATGATATCGCACCATTTTTATCTTTAAGTTGCTTGTACTTTTGCAAAAATGTCTTGTTGGATCAGAAGCATGTGCCTCAAAAGACTCAAGATGCTTTAATGCCATTTCTCTCTTCTCAATTACTTCACAGCAATTTTCCCACAAATTTAAAGCCTACATTACATTGTACATGCTAATATCAGCATAAAAATAGCAATACTTACTTTGTCAATATAAGAATGAAATTTTGGACGACTCAATTTAAATGCCATATCAAACTGATCATCATCAGATAACTGGAGCCTTATCCATATATTTTTCAGCCTTGCCTATTAATTACAAGCATATGTCATGTTATTAAATTCCATTTTTAGTACTCAAGATCACTTTACAATCTTTCAGGCATTAAATTGTTTGTGCATGTGCATGTACACACATGCACTCACCACATTTGCTGTGTATAAATACACATGCACATACCTGAACTACACTCCAGTTTGCAACAGGTGGACCTACATGAAATACCAAAAATATGAAACTGAAAATAATGAAGGGATAGAAGCAATAATAACCTTGTTCTTTCAGTAGTACTTCAGGATCATTTCCAAGCCCTCCCATTAAAACTGCATTAACATTCCACTTCCCAGGAGTATACAAATTTTTCTGCCTCAAAAGCTCAAACCTGTTCTTTTCTTTCATTCTAAATTGTAAATAAAAGGTACTTGCACACCAATTAATGCATCATACAGAAGATTTTGCTGTAGCTCTCGTAACTTTCTCTTTTTTTCCTCCTCTTTTTGTTCATCTTCAGAATCACTACCACTGGAATCATACATATGATGTATAACACCTAAATAATCTGAGCCCTATATGAACAATACCAAGAGCACATAATTACATGTACATGTATGTACTCTTGACAATACTGTACAGCACGTGCTAAAGAAATACGAAAATCAACTTACACGATCGGCTGCAAACTTAAAGTAATCATTTACAGAAACCGTATCTACAACTTTTGAGCTTTTCTTTTGACTTTTTGAAGTCAATGCTACTTTCTCTCTGTCAATTAAATAAATTATGATTTAAAATTACATTAAAAATGAATTACTGCTTAGAAGAAAGCCATTCTTTGCGGCTTTTGCCTTTCCAAGGAGGAAATCCAGCATGAACCAAACTTTCATTGACAATTCTAGTGCTTTTTCTGTGGTGAAGCGTGCTGGATGCATATACAGTAGACATTGTGATTTTGTCACTTATAAAAGGCTCCAACACTGGATCCTGAAACAAGATACTTCCAATAAGTGTTTGTGTTCATAGTTTATACTTTGTCAAAGGCTAAATGCTCTTTTGGAAGAGTCTGAGACAGCTCTTCATATATTTCATATATATCATGACCTTCTTTTAAATTAGAATCCAGTTGCTCAAGTGTAACAATATCCAGCTAATGAAGAATTAATAGAACACTGACTGGTTATAATAACTTTTCTCACATCACTAGTTAGCTCATTGTAGACTGCTGGTTGAGACTGAAGTCTAAGAGAAAATACTGGAGATCTTTCACTAACACGGACATTTGATGCACGGCCAATATGCTACATGTACATGGAAAAAGAAGAGATTAAATACATTGCAATTATTATCAATAATGGTGCATACATTTTGGGGTAATGCCATTGCCAAGACATCAGGCTGCTTAATAGTATCTTTCAAAAGCTCAACCTCAGAAATACATGATTCATCATTAACACATTTAGATGATGGTGACTTGTTAGTTAGGTCAAGCATTTCATTTGAGCCGTCTGAAAGAGATTGATGCGACAAAGAAATTTTTATGCCATCAGAATTTAATGATTCATGAAGGCTTGAATCAAATGGTGCATTAATTTCTGAGTAATCAGTGCCAGTGTTATTAAATGATGAGCTAGAATTATAAAAATCACCTTATTGTAAAACAAAACTACTGCTAACTTTAAACTATATTTTAATGGGATCTGATGTAGCAGAGACTGAGCAGGACTCTGCTTAACAGGTAACACTGCTGGAATAGGCTCTGCTTCATGTCCTGATGGTTGCTGCTTTTTCACAAAAGAAGTAAATGTATGAGCCTACAGTATCATAATAATACGTACACACCCATAGCATTAAAAAGTCATACAGCTAGTAAGGGAGAAAGATCACCAGATGTATTACCCTGATTATAAAATAAAACAAAACATTAATAATTTGAACATGTACAACACACAACTAACCTGCTCAAGCATGACCATTTCTTGAAGTGACAAGGTCTTAATGTCATTTCTAAGCATTTCATCAGTATAGTCACCCAAGCTGAAAGCAAATGCAGTATCGTTAATGCTCAATCTATTTCAAATGGCACCTTGTTTTGACTTGTCCTAAACATTTGTTTTCAGGAAAAACTTGTAGACCCTTTTAAATAGATTAAGAGTTTATAATTTTACTGTATTGTACTTTTAATGTGTTAAGACTAGGAGAGTCCCAAAGGCCAAGAAATTGCTTTTTACCTTTACCTAAAAAATTCATGTTGCTACATATTGATTCAAGTTTCCAGCTTACCAGTGGAATGTTGCATGCCTAAGTCATAAAGAAGGGCATCTGTGGGAAAAGTTGGCTCTGACGGTACCTTGCTGAATTTAGAAAAATTCTTCAGAAAACAGGAAGCAAAATATTATCTATATCTGTACAATTAAATCAAATTATACTTACATGTAAATGATGAAATGGTTCAGTCTCATTGGATTCAGTACTATTTAAATCTATTGTATTTTAAAAAATGAAAAATACACAATATATTACCCTCTTCATCAGAATAATAAGTTTTGCTGTTATTTGTTGTACAGTTCTGAGGAGAGGCTGACTATAAAATACAAAAGCAGTGAATAGCATTACATGTACATGTAAACTAACATGATCTGTGGCTAAGTTTTGTAGTGACAAAGGATACTTTAGCTGCACCTATCAAAGTAGCATAAATATACATGTGCATGTAGCATTAACTATAAGCAGGTTATCCCACAAAGCATGCTACATATGAATGAAAAACATGCTTTCTGATAAGTCTTATATACATATACATGTATGCATGAACGTGTAGTATACAGCTTTTGGAGCACTTTTAAAAATTCATTTTTTAATTGGAATAAGATCAAAATTTTTATGCAACATAAAAACATGTATATGCATAAAAAAGTTAAAATGGAGACTTCTCTTTAAGCAATTTATTGTGGAACTTGACCACAGTCCCCGTTAGTACACAACCAAATGTTATTGCCTTAAATCAGGACTGATATCAGTCTGAATCATACTGATATCAGTCCTGAATCATGGTTTTCGTGTAATCAGTCATGATACAACAGCGAAAATCAGCAAAGATACAATCATAATAAAGCTTTTACTGATCCATGCCAAAATATCAGGCATGATCTAGAAAATAATGTGTCAGGGCTGTACCAGTGTAGACATGGTCCATTATTTTGGGGCAAAAGTGCTGATTCAGGCATAATAACTTTTAGTTGTGTACAGGAACTTTTCCAGCAAATTTAAATTATTTTAATCAGAATCGGCTCAAATTTTTTACACAACATAAGTATATGTAAAGTAAAAATGGAGAATTCCTTCATCTTTATATTTGGTGAAATTGACCAAAGTCCAAAATTATATACAGTACAGGATGTTTGGCCTAATTTTGAGCAACTTCATTTATGTTTTTAAAATGCAATTTTAATTAGAAAGAGCTCAATATTTTGCATGCAAAGTAAAAAAACCTGTATATGCATCATATAAAATAAAATGGAGAATTTTCTCATAGTAAATTTGGTTTGAATTTGACAAAAGTCCCTGTACTAGGGTAGTTGACCCTAATTTTCGACCTAATTTAAAATTTATGAAAATTTGATTTTGATTAAAATGAGCTCAAAATTTTATATAAAATAGGAGTACATATTGCACCAGAAATTATTGAAAAGAAGAATTTCCAACTAGTAATTTCTGACGCAATTCGACCAAAGTCATGTACTATGGTCATTGACCTAATTTTTGAGCAACTTTAAAATGTACTGATAAGGAACTCAATACAAAATCCAGTGGGAACTCTGCTTTAAAGTGCATACATGTACATGTACAAATATAGCCGAGGGTAGATAATACTGTAGAAAGGGCTTATGGTTAATTAGACTTACTTTATAAACCTCATCAAGGTCATCAACTCCATGAGAAAGCTGGTCTATTGTATCTGTTGCTTGATATGCTGAAGGAGCTCCTTTTTGAAGCCTTGCTATGATTTTTCTCCTTATGAAAGGGATATTAATCCTATTATTTATCAACACATGATAGCTTCACTATAAAAACAATAATGAACCTTTTATTAGCAACAATAATTAATTCAGCATGTAAACAGCTAATTTGTGTTGAGGCATGAAGTGTATCTTCAGACTTTAGTCCTAAAACAGTTAAAAATTTCTACAACACACGTGTAGGTATCATCATAAGCTCACTGCATGCTTTAGCAAGGTAACTTCTGAATAGTGCTTCCAAAATTGTTGAAACTTCAACAAATATAAGCCTGTAAAAATACTTGTACATGTCATTAATGATTATTACAAAACATTACTATACAGTTTGTATCTGTAATGCTCACGTTTACACACAAACACATATGTATTGTTCATGTACATGTCACTTACACGTACATACCTGTGCAGTTCCTTATTACTAGATGGTGACTATACAACAAAAGAAGATCATAAAATAATAAAATACAGTGAAATTTGTAGTGAAAACTTTCTGCCATGCTAGCTTTTTTAGAGTGCATTGTATACTGTACATATACATGTAAATGTAAACTGTACATGATATTGAAAAAAATTGTGAAACATTGACTTTATCATTACTTGTAATTTAAGTTAGTACAATACAAGCTAGTTTACCAAAAAAATTCCATGCATGGTATACATATAAAAAAATCTTCATATCAATACATGTAAGGAGAATATAAATAAAAACCTACATGTGTATAATACAAGTACATGTGTATAATAATAAGCATGCAATCTACTCACCAAGAAAGGGTCATCAATTTGACGATGAATTACAGAAAACTGACTTGCTAGTTCTCCAATTAAAATTTTTGCCTATAAAGTAACATACAGTGTATGTACATGTACATGTACATCATGCTCTATTATCGTCTGAAGTATTAACTACACATGCATGTTGTAAACTGTAGAAAATCATTCACAAAATAGAACAATTGTGATGTACATGTACAAAAATTGCCATAAACAGTATGATCTTCTTGCTAACAAAACAACAATGCACAAAATTAAATTTGAAAAATTGTCTGCTTTATAAAGCTTGAACTAATTCTACCTAACTTCTTTATTATGGTACAAAGTCAATAATGAACTCTTGGTAGTAAAGTTATTAGTTAAATTTTTACTAGAGATTCCTGGTCTTCAATACTTATCCCTTTTAAATTATAGTGAGGTTGAAATCTTGGTAACAAAACCTCTAAAAGGTCAGCATAACTAGCTGGAACAGCAGATATTGCTTCCTATAAATGAAATACAGCTAATTAAGACAAGACAATGAAAATCATAAATAAACAAACAACATGTACCAAATTGATACAAAAAAGAAGCAATCACATGTTCATGTACATGTAAATACAAGGATATTATAAAAACAAACATGGTAGAATATGAATCATAAGTCCCTAAAATATGAAACATTATCTACTGTATCACAAAACTGGGCTACCCTATAGCTACATGTACATGTACATGCATATGCACATACATGTACATGTATTTATAGTTACCAGTAACTATATGTATGCACATAGATACTTGCTATCAGAGGTGTAGTAACTCTACACAAAATGGTTTTACCAGCCATAATTGACAAAAGGTACCTTATGGCGGGTAGTGAAATTTGTCTTTCTAGCCTAAGAAATCCAACTTCTTGAGCCCCATTTATCATAAAATTATTCCACAGGATGCAAAAAGTTACCATGAAACTTTTAGAAACAATGATTGTCTAACAAAGCACTCACAGGTTGATATTTTCCATTATAACGATCAATTTTAAAATCCACCATAAGGGCCCTTTTGTCAATTATTGTCACAATTGCTGCATTTGTTCTAAATTTTAAGAATACTCTACCCACAAGGCCCAATTACTTGCAATTGTTTCAAGTTTTAGCCCTAGTGGAGAAAGTATTCACGGAGAGAGGGGCTGGCTACCCAAGACAAGGGAAATCCCATTATGTGAGCTAAGTTTTAGCCAATTATATACAATTCGTGATGAACTAATTGTTTTAGTTTCAAGAATGCTAAAAAATTACACTGCATTTACAGTAAACTTACATTCATTGGAATGTGTTTTACAACAAAATCATCTTCTGATGGTGAAGTATTAGCTCCATCCAATGACTCTATTAGTAACTAAAAAAATGGCGCACTGAATGTACTAACCATCTTCTGAGTCAGTATCAAACAGAGACAGCATAATAAAAAAAAAAACCAAACTGTTGATTTCACTTCTTGTTCGTTTCCCTAGAAACACACCACACCTCTTTTACAAGATTTTAGTATGCATTGTTAATCATTAAAACTTTTTGCTGTATCAAACTTCGGCAAATTAAAATTTAAAAAAAATGTAATACAGACTATAATAAATAATAATTATAACAATAATGGGTCTAGATTTATTAAGTTCGTACACGATCCAATAAATCAGGCTGGTTGTCCATTATTACTTTAAGCAGGCTCTCAATATATTTGTGAAGTCTTTCACATTTGCTTTCAGCAGAATTTTGAGACCTTTTTGTAGAATCTAGCTCATTTTTCATAGATATCAACTCAGATTTAAGCTGCTTATGTAGTTCTTTCTCTTCATGCAAAAATTGCTTTTCACAGCTTAATTGATGACTGGTAGCTCGAAGTTCATCTTGCAATTCCTTTAGTTTCATAGTTGTTTCAGATAACTCATATTGCAATGCATTTACTTCATTAGTTTCAGCCTCCAACTTTGTCTTAAGAGATTCATTTTCCTTTTCTACGTGATCTTGAGACTTTGCTGCAATTTCTTGCTCAAAATCATACTTCAATCTTAATGCACCAAGCTCATCATTTAACATTGTTATTCTTTTGTGAAGCTCCTCTTTTTGAGTTTCTGCAATTTCCAGGCTTTGAACATTTTTCAGAAGCAATTCTTCGTGTTCTAATTTACTACTTTTGAATGCTTGAATATGCTTGTCGTGTTCACACTGAAGTTCATGAAGGTGCTCTTGAACTTTTTTTAGCTGGTCATTACTAGTTGTAAGCTTGGCCATCAGATCATTTTTGCTGTTGGAAATTTCTTCATTAGCTTTAAAAATTTGCTGCTGACAATCCTGAATAATAAGCTCTTTTTCATTTTCAACTTCTGTTACCTTTTGTGATGCATCATCACATTCCTTCTTTAGTGTTTTGATTATTTTTTGAAGCTCTTCTGTTTCCTTTAGATGTAAGATTTGGTTTTCACTCTGCAGCATATCAGCTTGTTCTTTTAAAGACAATATTTCTTTCTGCAAAATTGAATTTAACTGACGCTCTATTGCAATATTCTTTTCATGTTCTTGTACTTTAGCCATTGCTGTATCTAAATCATTTGTATATTGACTAATTTTGAAACTATTCTCTGATTCAGAATTTTTTAAGCACTTATTTAATTCTTCATTGATACCCTTCAATTCACGAATTTCAGCTTGAAGGTCATCCTGCTGTTTCTGATACTTGGAGCTATTCCTCTCCATCTGTTTCGATACTGCAATTCGTTCTTGCTCAAATTCAATCATCTTTGATTTTAATTCATTTGTTTTATCTTCTAAACTTGATCGGAGATCTTCAAATATAGCCTTTGACTGCTTATTTTCACTGACAAGTTGTAGCTGACACTTCTCTAGTGTCTTTTGTTCTTCCGTCAATGCTCTTTTCATAGCAGATAGTTCATTATTCAAGCTTACAATGGTGTCACAAAGTTCATCACTTCTACACTTTTCAAGACGTAGCTCCTCACTGAATTTAATTTTTGCATCAGTCAATTGTGAAATTTGTTCAGCAATTTGTGATTCCTTCTCAACCAAATTTTCTTGTAGCTGTTTATTTTTTTGAAGACTTTGCTTGTGTTCATTAAAAAGAATTTCATGCCTTTTTTGGAGCATGTCCATTTCTTCCATTAACTTAGCAGTAATATCTTCCTCAATTTTGGATTTTTCAAGATTGATGAGCATCAATTGGCTTTCATAGCTTTGAATCATAAGCTCCTTTTCTTTTTTTTCTTTTTCTAACTCTTTTAGAGCATTGGCTGTTATCTGTGATGCTTCAGCACGCTCCTTCTGAATGGTTTCATTCAATTCTTTTTCCTCCTTTGAGTGAATAACACGAATCGTTGTCATTTCATTTTGTAGTGCATTAGCGTGTTCCCTTAATGAAGCAATTTCATCTCGTTGAACTGAACCAGTACGGCGCTCAATTTGAAGCTCATCTTCATATTCCTTGTTTTTGGCAAGTGCTAAAACTAAATCAGAAGATTTCTGATTTAGTGCTGCACTTTTTTCTGTACTCTCAGACTCTGAAGAGTGTAAGCGTTGAAATAATCTGGCATTGATATCTTTAAGTTTACTAATGTCAACTTGCATGCCTGCTTGCTGCCCTTGGCATTCAGTTTTTAATTTTTCTAACTGCTTCCAAACTTCTACTCGTTTTTCCTCAATTTGAATTAATCCATGACTTAATATGTTGGTTTTAGCTTCTAATTCTGTATGAAGACCTTCAATGACAGTGTTTAGCTGCTTAATTTCATTGACAAGCTGCGATTGACACTTTTCATTATCCTCTTGTTTTACTTTGAGTGCACTTTTTAGTGCTACTATTTCACTGGTTAAATTTACAATGGTGTCACTAAGCGTATTATTTTTATTTCTTTCTACCAATAATTCATCGCTATTTGACTTTCCTGTAAGTTCTGCCTGAGACAACTGCAAAATTAGACTTTCAATTTGTGACTCCTTCTCAACCAGGGTTTCTTCCAAACGCTTACTTTTAGAAAACGTTGCGTTTTGTTTGTCGGAGAGACTTTCATGTTTTGTTAGAAGTTCATCCATTTCCTTTTTAGCTCGAAGTACTTCATTTCTGGCAGTAGAATAAGCTTTAACAAGTTCTTCCTCCAATCTAGATTTTTCTTGATTAGCTTGGGCAATTTGGATTTTGTGATCTTGAATAATAAGTTCCTTTTCCTTCTGCAATTTTTCTGAAAGTTTCAATAACTTCTCGGAAAAATCAACACGTTCTTTTTCAATGGTATCGTTAAGACCTTCTTGAGTTTCTTTATCTTTCTGACGCAAAACATGAAGCTCTGTTAATTCATCTTGCATTGCATCCACTTGCTTTCTCAAAATAGCAACTTCATTTTGTATTGCTAAGTTTGACTGACGTTCGTTTGCAAGCTCTTTCTCACATTGCTGATTTCTAGAAATTGCTAAATCTAAATCAGAAGATGCTAAGCTAAGTGGTGTACTAAATTTTTCACTTTCTTTTTTGCATTGAAAATTGTTATCACTAACAGTTGTGTGAATAGGCACCTTGTGCCCAGTTGCATTTCTATCTGGATTCTCTGTGGATTCCTCCTCGATTTGCTTGGACATCTCCTCATCATCAAATATTGCTGGCGCTAGAGTAATATGGGTAGGCATAGTTTCTGTCTTATCTTTTTTAAACTCCTCCTGCTCCTTTAACAGTTGCACTTGAATACCGACAACTTTGGTTTGTAGCTCTTTATTAGCCTCTTTCATTTGACATATCTCGCTTTTCAGAGAACTATTAGACTGACGTTCTTCAAAAAGTTCCCTTTCGTATGTCTGAATTTTTTCCTTAGCTGCAAGCAATTCAGAATTCTGTTGACATATCTTACTATTCAAAACTGTTAAGCGGTGAGCTAGCTCTTCGTTTAACTTCTTGAGATTTGCATTAGTTGCAAGAATGGTATTTTGCTCTGCTACGTGTTCTAATTTCATACGATCAAGCTGGCTTGAAATTTCTTCTGTTCTTTGTTTGCTTGCATGCAGCTGTCTATTTAACTCATCAGCCGTATCTTGTAATTTAAGTTGGAGGTCATTAACAATACTGTCTAAATCATTTCTTTCTAAGTCCCACTTCTTCTGACATGCTGAAACAGCGTCTTGCTCTTCTTTTAACTTAATCTTCAAGTTTCTCAATTTTTGATGAAGTTCCTCATTTTCCTCATGAGCTTTAGTTAAATTTGATGCCTCAGAAACTTGATTTTGAGAGATCTGTAATCTTTGAGCATGAATCTGTTGTTCCTTTGTAGTCAAATCTTGTTTTAGCCGTATACATTTGCTCTCAAACTCTTTAATACGATCGTCATGCCTCCTATTTATTTCACTTATTTCTGCCTTTAATAGTGATACTTGATTTCTTGTGGCTAAAAGATCAGATGATAAATCATGCTTCATTGAGATATTTGTTTCAATGGTGTTTTGTTTTCTGTGTGTTTCACTGAGATCGCCCATGAGCACCGAACACTTATGCTGCTGTCCACTTGATTCTAGTCGTTCCTCTAATTGCAGGATGTTAAGCCTAAGAGACTGCACTTCAGAATCGGACTCGCATAGCATGCGTGAATATGAATTAGTCACATTGGTTATGAGGGATTCAGCAGTAATAATTCTTTCACTTAGTTCATTTAATAGAGGCATCAATTGCGACTGCTCAACACTTTTGTTATTAGAAGAAGCACGCTTTAACTTCATGTGAATCTCACGAGACTTGCTTGTCCATTCAATAAGCTGCTGTTCAAGGGGGATAGCCAATGAGTAAGCAGAAGACGCTTTTGTACGACGACCATGCACTGGTAGTAAAGTTGGTGTGCGTAAGGGTTGGTTTGTAGCTGCCATAATTACTTGGTACTATCCTTCCTATAACAAAGAGAATAAAAATATATGTTGTTTAATTTCAAACGCATTACCTCTTCGCCCATTTTTTGTTTTGTTAGCCTGAGCCCCACCCTATTTTTTTTTGCTAATCCTAACCACGCCCCTATTCAAAGGTCATCATGTCTGGTGCTAGGTCTCTTCTGCGATTTGATGGCAGGGTCGCCATTGTCACAGGAGCAGGGAGAGGTAGGAATTGTTATTGTTGTTTTATTTTTAAAGCACTGTAGGTATTGGTCGTGACTATGCTTTGCTTCTTGCTTCAAGGGGAGCTAAAGTAGTTGGTATGTTCACTCACTATTATTAATCGTGTAAATATCATGAAGTTCTATACTAGCATAGAAATGTGCAAGAAAATAGTGGAATTGGTGCTATTTTGATTGCGACCTCTGGCATCAAGTCAAATTATTAACAGTTAATCTTAATTGCCACTTGTGAAACTAATTAATAATTATTGTGGGTTTCCCACAAAGCATGCTAATTGAGCTAATATCATGGCATGTAGCTCTTTAAAAAAATAATTGTGAACTCTATTGAAATTTATATTAAGCATGTACATGTATTTTACATTAGAAAAAATTATAAAAACGACTGGATTTTTAGGCAACTTAAAAAAATTATTAAAAAATTGGAACTTGATCTCATAATATTTAAGTGCATGTGTATGTACATGTATATATACACAACATGCATTAAAAAATTAAAGAAATGGAATTTTCTCCTAGCCATTTTTGATGAAATTTGGCCAAAGACCCTGTCTTTGATTAAAAAATCCAATTTTTAAGGCAACCCTCAAATTTACTACTTTGTAATATTGTCAATCTATTACCATTTAACCATTAAACCTTAATTATTTTTCTTAACTATTTTAACCTTTTTTCTTATATACCAAACTATAATCAAAATATCTATAGCAATTTATGCATGCCTATTGTTTTTCTAGTTAATGATCTTGGGGTAGATCTTACAGGTCTTGGTAAAAATAGTAAACCAGTTGATGAAGTTGTGCAGACAATTAAGTCTTTTGGAGGAATTGCAGTTCCAAATTATGGTATACCAATTTTTGTAATAATATTTAATTATTTATTATGAGAAATGCATAGACTCGGTGGAAGATGGAGAGAAAGTTATCAAAACAGCTATTGACAATTTTGGTAGAATAGGTAAGCATTGCTGTGAACTTGATATCAATAAGTTATTATTATTGTTAGATATTTTGGTGAATAATGCTGGAATAATTCGCGATAAATCATTCTCTCGTATAAGTGATCTTGACTGGGGTATTTTTGTCTATAGTTACATGTAGTATTTGATTTTATTTTTTTGTAGATCTTGTACATAAGGTCCACCTCAGAGGGTCATTTATGTGTACTAGAGCTGCATGGCCTTATATGAAACAGCAAAAATATGGCCGGTAAATTTTGTTTCAAAATGTACATGTATATGTATGTTTTAATAGTATCATAATGACTTCATCAACTTCTGGTTTGTATGGAAACTTTGGTCAATCAAATTACAGTGCTGGTAAGTCATTGTTTTTATTGTTACTAATTTGTATTAATGATTGACAGCCAAACTTGGTTTGGTCGGTTTCATGAATACATTGGCTCTTGAAGGACAAAAATATAATGTTTTTTGTAATACCATTGTCCCTGCTGCTCTGTCAAGACTTACTCAAGGACTAATTCCAGAAGGTACTTAGCTTTATTATGTCATTATGTTTCTGTTGTTAATAGAGGTTGGTGAGATATTCAAACCTGAATATATTGCTCCAGTGGTGTGCTACATGTGTCATGAAAACTGTACAGAAAATGGAGTTGTAATAGAGGTAACAATTGATGCAACAAAAATACTTAAGACAAAATGGGATTCAATCTAATGCTTGTGCATACATTGTATATCCCTTGCACATGTATATACATGTACATGTACGTGTATATGTAGATTGATAATTGTTAAAATGATTTCACTTTAACAGCTAAGAATGTCGTTTTGAATACATGAAGTATTTCCACAATGAATAATAGCAGTATTATGGCACATGAATAAATTTTCTGTGAACTATTTCACACGTACAGTAGCATTAGTTTGCCAATAAAATTATTATGTCATATATAAATTTTTCTTTTTTGTTGTACATGCACAGTAAATACATGTACATGTAGGTCAGTGCTTGCTTAGGACTGATTTAATTTTTATTACTTTTATTTTTATAGTCTGCTGGAGGGTGGGCTGCAAAAGGTATCGCAACAAAATTGAATTAAAAAATAGTTAAAAAAATTAATTTTGTGTTAGTTCGCCTACAGAAATCTGGTGGTGTTGCTATGAGAAAGGCTGAAAATACTTTTTCTATTGAAGATGGTTAGTTATGTTATTTTTTTGGTATTAGTTGTAGTTTATATTGTTATATTTTTTTTGTTAAAATTGTCATTGTATTCTTACATGCAGTTCAATCTAATTGGGATGCTATAACTGATATGACATGTAACCCTCTCTACCACACATCAGCCTCTGGTAGGTACCTGTTGGAAATGAAACTTTGCATTTATTTTCAAGAGTAGAAGCAACTGCTCATACAGTGAAGTTAATACTAGAAAAGTTAAATGACTCAAGCAAACCTATTCCAACAAGTTTTGAATCTGCTATTGGATATCAATTCACAGCACCACCTTTTAATTATACTGAGCGGGATGTCATTTTATATGCCTTAGGAGGTACATTAATGTTGCATTAAACTACATGGGTATAATTTTATTTACTTACTGTGTTGCAGTTGGTGCTACTGTTTCTGAGAATGACACATCTCAATTAAAATTTCTTTATGAAGGTCATGAAGAATTCAGTGTTATTCCTTCGTATGCTGTCATTCCTGCTCAGGTATGGATGCCTGTATGGTGATGTGTACAATATGTATTAACTTCGTGTTCATGATATTTTAGAGTGCTATGACTGGAGTGATGACTGGTCTGCCTGCTTTTAGTCAGGTAAATTTGGCAAGAATGCTTCATGGAGAACAGTATATTGAAATTAAGAAACCATTCCCGACATCAGGTATTAATAAAAGAAATGAAAATGTGACAATTTTTTTCAGGAACTTTGAGCCACAAAGGTGTTATTAGTGATATTCTTGACAAAAAATCTGGGGCTGTTGTCTTGTTTGATGGTATAGTTTGTGTTGTTGATTGTGTATTATTTTTATTGTACCTCTCATATTTTATTATAGTTCAATCTTTTGATGAAACTGGAGATCTGGTAGCTTTCAATCAGTTTTCCATATTTATGGTGGGAGCTGGTGGATTTGGGGGAAAGAGAGATTCACCACATATTAAGGTATGTATAATGTGCTAGCTGTTAGTGGCAGTTGAAGTCAAAATGTATCTTGATTATTTGGTTTTGTTATACGTAATAGAAGTCACTTTCAGCTCCTTCTCGCAATCCAGATGCCTCTCTCCGAGAAAAGACTACCTCCAGCCAGGCAGCTCTCTACAGGCTTAATGGAGACTACAACCCTCTACATATTGACAAGGACTTTGCTGCTATGGGTGGTATGTGTTTGGTAATATGTGATTATTTGTTTTGAACTTTTTTGCAGGTTTCTCTACTCCCATTTTACATGGCCTTTGTTCATTTGGCTTTGCTGTTAGACATATTTTACGTCAGTATTGCAATAATGATACCACTATGGTCAAGGCTATTAAAGTTCGTTTCTCAAAGCCATTTTTACCTGGACAAACTCTCCAGACTGATATGTGGCAGGAAAATGAAAGGATATTCTTTTCGTGCAAAGTATTTTACTATTATTTTGACACTTGTTTGATAGTGTCTTGCAGTGTGTAGAATCAGGTGACACTGTTCTAACTGGAGGGTATGTGGATTTGCTGACAGCACCTTCTCTTTCTTCACAAGATTCTTCAAGTGACAAGGAATCCTTAAAATCAACTGCATTGTTTGAGCAGTTGAAATCTGTAATTGCAACCGGAGGGCCTGAATTTGTTAATAGGATACGAGCTGTTTACTTGTGGAATATTACCAAAGATGGGAATTTAGCATCACAATGGAGTATGTAATGTTTTAAATGTGTAAATGTAGCTAAAACTCTTTTTAGCTGTTGATCTTAAAAATCCTCCTGGTGCCGTATATCAAGGAGAGCCAAAAGCAACTCGAGCTGGTTGTACTCTAACTATATCAGATGATGACTTTATTCGGCTTGCAAATGGTGATCTTAATCCTCAACAAGTATTCTATCATTTTGTACTAAATAATATGAATTTTAATTGTTAGGCATTTTTTGGAGGAAAGATAAAGATCACAGGGAATGTGATGCTTAGTCAGAAATTGGCCCAATTGTTTAATCAGCAAAGCAAACTATAATAATTATTATAATTTTTGTCAAGTTGTTATAATTGTTTGGGTGAAAGTAAAATTTATTAGGGCTGTTTTAATTTTAACTCTTGAATGAAGCAGAAGCTCAAGTTCTGGTATAATAGTCACTAACTACCAATCGAACTAAACTACTCATTGTACTCAAGTTCATTACACAAATCCTGGCATGTTTGGAACTAGAAGGGGAGATTGGGGCCGTGGCAGTAGGGCACGTGGACGTGGAAGTTACCGAGGAGGAGACGAGTCGCCTGGTAGGCATAGGAAAGGCAATGCCAGTGATGAAGCAGAGGAACAAGTACGTGACCTTTTTTCAAAGAAATTCCAGTTTCATGATGAAATACCAAGCACATGGAAATTACCAGACCCACAACAAATATTTCATCATCCGCAATACAGTCACCGTAGCCTTCTTGACATAAGAAATAAGCTGAACAGTGTGAAAAGTAAATTGGATGACAAGGAAATCACCTCATGGCACCGCCACACCAAGTTCACAAATAGAGCTGGCAATATTATCCCAGAGGTCCGTAAGAGACATCAGCCTGAATTATGTACACAAGGCTGGACAAAGTTGCATGAAATTCTCACTGTCTTTAATATCGTGCCCGATTCTGTAATAAGGCTTAATTCGTTACACCTTTGTGAAGCTCCTGGTGCCTTTGTTACTAGCTTAAATCATTACCTCAAAATTCATCGAATGGATATTGTTTGGCAGTGGAGAGCAACTACTTTAAACCCCTATTATGAAGGCAACAGCACTGTAGCTCTCATTGATCAGGATCGATTTATGATAGAGACTATTGACAATTGGTATTTTGGACAAGATAACAGTGGCGATATAACGATCTGGGATAATGTTATTGGATTAGTTGAGAAGGTGAAGAAAGAATTGAAAGATGTCCACTTGGTAGGTCTTGCTTTTATAGTGTCTATAATTTTGTGCTATCTTTTATTAGGTAACTGCTGATGGTAGCATAGATTGTGCTAATAGTCCTGCTGAACAAGAGACTATTGTATCTCAGTTATTGTTTTGTGAAACAGTTGCTGCCTTTTTAGTATTGAGGGATGATGGGACATTCATTCTGAAATCATTTACAACCTTGGAATGCCAGTCAGCATGTCTTCTTTATTTACTGGCAACTTGCTTTAAAAAGGTTAGTGTTAAATGCATTTTTAATGAGCAGATGTCAATTTTTTGGTTTAAAAATTGATATATAAAGGTTTTCTGTGTATTGCACTATGATATTATACACGTACTTGTGCTTTTAAAGTGAATGATGCTTTAATGTTAGCTTTATTAATGCTCTTTGCAATTTTATTGTGGGTTTTTTTATTAGAGCTGGGCGATATCAAAATTTGTCCAATGATATATCGCTCAAAGTGACATATCATGATATTACTATTTATCACTTGAGTACATGTACATGTACACGTTGAATTATTATCATATTAAATTTTTAGCAAAAACTATCAAAGATTTTTAGCCAAAAATACCATTGTATTAACTTTGTCTGGTTTTAAACAAGTTCGTCTTGAAGACATGAGATTGCCAGATGTACTGAAAACTCTCTCGGAGGGAGAGCTGGTTGCACAGCAACATAAATACTTCCTTGCTAATGTGCTTAATGCCGGGAAAGTTTTGTTGTAAGACTTCCACCACTCTAATGGATTTAACTCTGAATCTAGTAGAGGATATTGAATGTATCTATCTATTTAATTTTGGATCTTCTCTTCGAGGGTTAAGGAAGTTTGGTTTAAAGTGTAAGTGCAGTGATTTTTTAGGGTATTTAGAGTTTCTTAGGCAAAAGTGGATCAGTGGAAGAGGAAGTTGAAGTGGTAGTAGCCACATCTTCAGTGTCATCTGGTTTCTCAGGGTAAAGTGTATACTTCTCAGACATCTCTTTACCTTCTTCTAGTATTTTCTTGATATTCACCTTGTCTGATTCAGCTACATGTATATACATGTATTCCATTTTAAATCTTTAATCGAGATATGATGCTGAGTTAAGAAATAGAAGGGTATCTTAATCACTGTACTTGCTTTCAAAGTAAGATTTCACTGCTCTTTTAAAATCTTTGGTAAGTTGTGTGTCGGATTCTTTTTGTAGAAGTGTGTCGGAGTACAAATGATGAAGTAGTGGAACTACAGCAGATATGGTCACGTGCTTTTCACCAGATGGAATGTCAGTAAAAGCATATAGTGGACCTAGGGCAGACCTCATGGACTCCAGAAATTTTATATCTTGCCATGATGGGATGAGATGAACAGATTTGCGGTCAGTACTACATGTGTAAGTACTTTTCGAATAGTGCTTTCCTGTTCAAGTATGCGCTCTATTATCTTGACTTTTGAGCCCATCTGGTTGGACAATCCTAAATAATAGTGTAATAACATGAATGAACCATTACATGATTATATCCTTACTGTGATAAGAGAGTGCTTGGGTAGTTTTAGCTCCCCTTGCATTATTGCTACATCTCTTCTTTTGTTCCAACTGTGAGAAAAATAAGATACTATCTTGTTGCATATACCAACTACCTTTGTAACACGATCATCACCTTTCACAGAGTTGGTTACAGCGAGGTGGAGATTATGGCCAAAACATGATATTCGATTCCAACCCAAAATGTCAGAAGCTAATATCATATTGGATCCATTATCTGTAGTAATACAGACTAAGCTACTGTTATTGAGTTCCCATTGCTGCATTGCCTGTGTTAACGCTTCTGAGATGTTAGACCCAGTGTGATCCTCTCGCTTGAACATAGTCTGAAGACATCTAGACTTGTGCTCCCATTCTTCATTGATGAAGTGTACTGTGAGACTGATAGAGGGTTCCATAGTATAGCTACTCCAAAGGTCAGTTGTAGCAGCATAATTATATATGTGTTTGAATTGAGAGGCAACAGAATTAATGTCAAACACGCGAGTATAACTGAGGAATTGCTGTCTGTGTAAAGTATTTTCGCCCTGGTAAGTCATACTTGGAGTCAAGAACTTCCATCATGTGTCTAAAGCCATCTTTCTCAACTGAATAGACAGGTAACATGTCCTTAGCTAAGTAGTATGTGACAGCATTAGACTAACAGCTTGCCATCTTTTACTATTACATGGATATTTGTAAAGTTTAGATTTAGTTGCTTGCTTGATGACTGGTGACTATTGGAAGTCTTGGTCTTACCCTCATTAACTTTAACAAACTCTTTGGGGTGATGATATCGAAGGTAAGAGAACAAATTTGTGGTATTACGACCTTTACAGCTTATAGGTTTGCTAACTTTCTTCTCCCAGCATATTTGGCACTTGGGATTTTCTTGATCTTTTCCAGCATCCTTCACAAACCCAAATTTTCCAGTATCCTTCACAAACCCAAAGTAGATCCATATTTGTGATTTGGTATTACTTTTAGACACTAGTTCTTGTTGTTGCTCTTCAATTTCCAGCTGTTCACTTGCTTTTTTTAGCCATTTTGTTTTTGTGTGACCATTAGTGATGTGCGATTCCGATACCAAAATTCTCGATTCTTCGATTCCTAGGCAGTATCAAATTGGTATCAAAGATTTCCAGTACCGAAAATATCGATTCTGAGTACAACCACACCCACTTAACTACAATAATGTTTAATAAACTACTAGTTAATTACAAACTAAAAATGTAAAAATAATTTTTATTGTTAAAAAATGACACCAAAAATGATAAATAATGCTTTTTCAGCTTCTCCAGCTACTGTCTCAGTCTTCTGGATTGTTGTTTGAATCTTTTAGATAATGAAAAAGTGAGTAAGTGAACAGTGAAGCCTGTTTTTACTGTTTATGGTCAATTCAAGCAGCAGTAACTTGCTGGAAGCACCTCTGGACTTTGACCTTCTCTGGTACTTGGAATTGTACTCAATACCATCGATACTCAGAGAAAAAGTACTCGGAATGGAACCGGATCAGATATCGCACATCACTAGTGACTATGTGGTAATTATTAATTAATTGATTTTTGACCGCCACTCCCAGTAATTATTGTCTTATTGATATATCATTGCAAAATTATGGACTCGATATCATTCAGTAACTAAATTGATGTTTTACCCGATATATATCAAAATATCAATATATCACCCAGCTCTATTTTTTATTGGTGTAGGCTGATAAAGTCCTTGTACATGTATATGTACATGCATACATGTATGTACATGTAAGTTACTCAATCTGTTTTACTCAATCTGTTTTAACTCTTAGCAAGGCAAAACTCATTCAATATAGAATAACAGCCTAAGAGATCTGATCAATGTGTCTTACATTTGTATATATGTACTGTCAGGAGCCCATAAAAGAAAAAGGAAAGGGTAGGAGCGCGCAACACCCACGCATTTAATTAAAATCACTGTAGCCTGCATAGCTTAATGAGTTTACTATTTTTAGAACAAGGTAAACCACACCCGTTTAGTAAAATGGCTACTAGTGTGAAGGTTGCTCTGAAAAAGAAGCTGTTTACATCTTAATACATTGTACCAGCAACAGATTTATTGAAAGAACTTAAAAAGATAAGTATGCTACCCCAAAAATTCAGCTCCTTACAGTAAAGCCTTCTCTCAATCAAGTGCAGCAAGTCTTTAGTCTGGAAAATCTCAAGGAGAATTAAGAACTGCGAGTTAGCAGGCCCTTTATATTGTGTAATGAAGGTATTTTCATTAATTTAAAGGGCTCTTCTGATTTGCTGTAGCTCTTAATTGTCCTCTAGACTCAGTTT